AAATAAATAAATATATGATATAGATATATCACATAAATAAATATGTGATATCAATATTTAGCACTTTGTTAAACGACATTGTTCCAAGGTTGCCCGGTACAACCCACCCCGGGAATGACAACGAGTGTGCAAGCATGTAGGTGGCAGCCGGATCATACTACCGGTCGTAAAATAGATAAGTATTTCATATTTATTTACATAGAAGGTTAAGGGTTTAACCCAAGAACCTTTCCCAGAAGCCGTGGAAGTTTGGAGGTGGTCAATGGCTAGGTTAACACAGGGTTAACTAGTGACATGCCAATATGCCAAGCCGCATATATAGCTCAGCAGAAGCAGATCAAGAAGCTGAAGACAGTAAAGTAGGCACCCAGTAGGCATCAGTATAGCTCATGAGTATGCCTGAACATGATATAACTTTTCTATCCCCCATGAGGAGTTGGATGGAAAGCAACAGCTCACCAAAATCACTGGTTCATGAGATGTCAGCTTGGACGACACATGTGATGCGAGGGTTAGATCATCCAAGATCATGGGGATCGCCACCATCATATGGTTCCCGTTCAAAACTCCTTTCACATCGAGCTCACTAGCCTCTAAGGAGCAACCAATCTTATACCTTTGATACTTTGAGTATACTTTGCAATGCGTACAGAACGCTGAAAGGCATCAGTTCATGGTATTGACGCTAGTCATTGACGTGTTGGCAACCCGGCCCCGCTGGACTCCGTGGATTGCAGAAGACTACCTATATCAAACCGTCTCGCTCTATCATAACAGCAGCTGTGCGCGTGCAAGAATTTGGCTTCGTGACGTGTCTATGATCGGTTGCTTCGATGTAGACAAGGGGTTCCTGATTCGACCTGCAAGAAGCCTAAATGATCAGAAGGAGATCCTTAGATTCAAGACGTGGTTGAAGAGGCGCAACAAATCCCGTAGTGACCAAAGGCAAGTAAACCAGACAACCGTATCTGCTGGCTTCGACGGCTTTATTTACCCAGCTTGCCATCACCGGAGTCTCCTCCTCCAAGAAAAGACTGCTTATAAAAACTTCTCAGCAGGCACGACTTCTTTCACAAAGTGCGACGGCATATGAGCACTCCATTGTTGGGCGGCGTAAAAGCTCAGATATCAGTCAGTGGCATCGTTGGCGATTGAAGGTTGCTTAGACGCATTTTGCTAAGAATGTCGGACGGGCAAAGGCCGATATAGAAGCGTGCCGTGGTTGCTGACGACTTTCACAGCTTTGAACATCAGGCAAGTCAACGGATCAATGACAACGGAACGAGCAATTTCGAATAGCTCATCTCACTGCGAAAGGTTCTGAATCTGCCAAGAGATGCTTGCGCACAACGACCGTCTTTTCAAGAACACAACTCAGGACCTGCGCCCCAAAACGAGTCCCTGGCACCCCAATGCGCAAGCCTGGACCGTGAGATGGCCAGTCCGCGTTCAGCAGACCGCTCAAGATCGCAAACATAAGGATGTATGTCGGACAACTGGAAACGAGAACAATGCAGTCGACTTGCCTGTGAAAGGGGATGACACTGGTGCATGTCATCAGAAGTGTTCCAGCGCGACGTAGTAAGCGAGCGCCACCGGAAACGACATCAGAGTTCCGAACGTGATGCTGCACAGGAAACGAGACCGTGCGAATAAGCGCCAGGTTGGGAAGTTCCGTGGCTCTCCTTTGGCAGAGAGTTGCCGGTGTCCTGCTATGTCGAGATTGGTAGTAAACGGGGCTTCATCACTTTGATACATCCATTGCCTGTTGGTCGCTTTCGAGCGACCGGAGGACCAGACTTCTAGTCTCTTTGGCAATACGTTGAGAAAAGAAAGCGGCTTGGAGTGAGGCGAATCCCTTGTGATTCTTCGAGCAGTTTTCAAGGGACTTTGCGCCTTACCTGGTGCTCAGGACTTCCGGATAGGCGTCATACTCTTTCGCGAACGAGAAAGATACAATAGCTTGCGGAAGGGCGGCCTGGAAAACAGGAGTGAGAGAAAAGTTGGTAGCTACCGAACAAGATGAGGGGAAACAATCGTGTGACAGTTCAAAACGGGCGTATTTCGCATCATCGCCAAAGTGCACGTTATGCTCTTGGCTGCTCGGCTGCTTTAGAAAGCTGATCCTAGCTGTCCCAACTTACAGACAGGAGGGTCAATTCCAGAAACTAAACGGGTCCTTCGTAAAGCAAAAAAAGCGCATTATCAACTGATACTTTCTGGCTGCAGGCTTGTGTGCGCGGTTCTGTGCACAGCAGCCTGACTTCATTTGTCTCCTTAAAAACGGAAGCTCTCAGCCCAGCCGACGAAACGCCGAACGTCGGCTTTCAAGATTCGCAACCTACACGAAGCCCTCGCAACTATCAAAAGGCCGACCTACCTGGATGATGGCGACGCGCAGAATGTTCCCCCGAAGTCCCACCACGAACGAGATAATTCCCATTATCGCAGGCCCAATGATAAAGTGAAGCCCGTGAACCATTAGGGACAGGCAGAAACCGCAGGGGAAGATAGCGGTGCTCCCCATGAACATGCCAAGAGAAAACATGGTCATGCCGATGCCTGTGTCCGCAAGAACGTCCAAAGATTTTCGGACGATGAGGGGCAGGCCGAAGCCGGACCTGCAATGAAGAAAATGCGGGGAGCCTTGAAATGGCGCATGGAGCTGTGACGGATGATTGTATCTAGAGACGAGGTGCAGCGACAACAGACCAATCGATGGGGCGAGGTCACTAGGAAAAAAGAGAACTATATGCAGTCATTTGAGGTGAGTGGAAGCAGGTTTTGCTGTCATAGGTTTGCTTTGATCCAATTGGGAAAAATATATGAAGTTGAGGACGCATACTCTAGCTTCGAATCTGCACATGAAAGACCACCGATCTGGAAGAGCATATAGCGCTATTCTCACAACAACAAAGAGCCCCTTCGCGCAATCTGCGAGTTCATGAAGAAGTTTGAACATCTTCAAGACATTGACCACAATCGAGTAGGCAAGTTCTGACCTTAGTCCAGAAAATCAAAACACCATGCTGATAATGTCTCTACTATGACAGCCACAATCTAGTGATAAGAGTTGAGTGTAACAATCTTCTTACTGCCCAACACACAGCTTCCTCACACGGGCACACCCAACATGCCAGCTTCAGCACAAAGCACACGGTCAACTGAACCCAAAAAGAAGTCTGATTGCTCACTTGTATGCCACAAGCGAGTAGACCAGCCCCAGTATCGCCGCGTGCACTGTGAAGCTCTTGCGCAGCTTCCACCCCAGGATCCGCAGCGTACGCTTCCACTGGGCCACCTGTTCTGCTCGACTGGCCTTCCTTTCGAGGACCCCCGGCCTGTTACGTACCACCAGCGAGAGCTGCCCCCTCAGCACAGCGCTCGGTTGTCGAGTTGGGGAGTTGGTTGGTTCACCTTGATGGAGGGGGCGTTCGAGGCTGGTAAGATGCTGTAGCTCTAACTTACTAGTAGAAGCTTCTATTGGAGGGGTTGGCTGGTGGTGGTTGGGAGAACTAGACGGGCTTGTCTGCGTAGGCCCGTCACTGGCAGTGTCCCCTTTGATACGTATCCGAAACTCCTCTGCAGGATTTTGTTGACTCTGATCAACTGAGGGCCAACTCCTTTCTTCTTCCGTAGACACCCGCTGCAACTCGCAAGTGCACGGGTGACTCTCAACTCTGGAAAGCTTCTTACATCTTGCCCCCGCAGCCTGCTCCCCTGCCAATTTAACTTCATCATTGTCTAAAGAGGTATCAGCTGCCCTCGCCTCCCCACTACCCTGTCCTTCGTTGTCTGCAACTTTCACCTCTGCCCCTGCCTCCAGCTCTGCACCTTCTTCTGCCACTTGTTGCCTCTCCTCTTTTCGGGACGCCCGAATCTCATATAGGATCATAAGCGCCGGGTACCAGATAACAGCCTGCCCTACGACAACCTGTCCGATGAGGTCTGTCGCCATAGGGCCATACATGGCCACCAGAGTGGGCACGCCAACGATAAGGGTGTTTGAGAGGGTGGCGATCATCCACAGCGTGATGAGCCAATCAAGGTCTGCCACCTGGCGCCGCGCCAGGCCATAGACCGCCAGCACAACAAGGACCAGCAGCTTGAAGAGAGTGTCTGCCAGAATGAGCCTGTACGAGATTGTGTAGAGGTCGATGCCAGCTATGAAGCGGAAGGAAAGGACAGGGATCGCGATGAGCACCACAAAGCGGTTGATGCCAGCGATGTCTGCTGGGGTGAAAAGCTTGAACTTAACAGAGAAGTAGCCTGCGCAAATGGCGACGTAGAGGGGCACAACGGCAGAGAGGATGCGGTAGACGCTGCCGGTGGTGATGCTGCCATGGCCGCCGGATGCCATGGCAGCCAAGTTTCTTAGCCTTTCGCACGCTTCTTCGTTGAAAGTCGTGGTCCCACTGCCTTGGCCATACAACAACACTGTCAACAGCGCCACCACCCCAGAAAGCAAACATGCAAGGCTCCGGCTGAGGCTGCCAGCCTTAGGCAGCTTCCGTCTGTCCTGGACGAAAACCTCTCATGAAGTGCATAATATAAGTCGGAGGTTCTCAACGCTTATAGAATGCCGGTCGGCAAACCGGCATAGCACCGCCGTCGTTCCACAACCTCGTAAATTCACGCGGCGTGCCGGTTTCCAAGTCCAAGGCAGTGTCGTTCAGTTGTGAGCGCCTGGAATTTTCATCATTTGCTGCTTCTGCCTTTTGGTATGTCCAGCTTGAAGATTCCCAGTATTCGTTGATCACCTTTCCAGGCTCCACCACCTTCAACTTGCGTTCAACTTCAAGGGACAGAACTGCATGGACAGAAGAGCGCTTCATGGCACTTCGTTGAATGTAGAAGATCAACTGACCTTGAAAGGCTACCCAGGTTTTCCAGACCACCCATCTAGCTTGGAAGAATCAGCGAGAATCAACAAGTGGGGCGCTTGCACAAAGAGCGGGAAGTTACAATGGCTCAAGTTGCAACCACCCGCCTACATTCCCATAGCTTGACCTCTACTTCTAGCTGGAAGTGTGCACAACAGCGTAGTACTTCTGATGTGCAGGCATCATCAAGGTCCTTAGTGTGCTCCCCCGTCAAGAGTGCAGACAGGACAATTGGGTTCAGGGGAGTTGGACATCTGAAGCGGTCACAATGCAGTCGGTCCCCTCGTGGTACAAGGCACGGGCTCATCCAATGTAGTGCCATGGACAACAACAAGCGCCGCCTGCCAACTCTGGACTCCCCCTCTCCATACAAGTAAGCAAAGAGCATCCCGCTGACCAGTCCAATGTTTCAAGACAGCGATGACGTGGTGGTACTGTTAGAAGTATTTGCGCACTGCCACTCGGGCCACACTGGCGCCAGTGTGGCCCGAGTGGCAGTGCGCAAATACTTCTAACAGGTACACCAGCCTGGCTTGCATACATTGTATGATAATGTTCCTGCGTTGCCAATCTGCTGTTTGCTGAGCCCAACTGACGCGCAATGTCCCGATGCCCAGCTTAACTTCAGACAATCTGGGCGAGAAACTTTGAAACATCCCAAGTGTGACAAAAAGTCATGTAACAGGTTCTTAGTGCAGACTGACTGTGGTCTGAGCAATTGAAAGGACTGCAAGCAAACGAGTACAGTCAGAGTTGGCACCAAAAGCTTCACCACTCTTTCATCAAACAAAGTGGAAGCATATCTGGCAGGTACATTATCAACACATGGCAAGCATGATATTTGTAGACTGACCAAATATTGTTCACCATCCTCAAGTTTTCTGGTGTCTCCTCAACTCACAACCTCTCAGACTTCAAGGACCGAAGCAATTGTAGCCTGAATATATCAACTATACAACCTTCTCTCCCCTTCCTGATTCTCAATCTCGGCTGCTTCATAATCCAGGCCCCCCTGGACGCCGGGGGGCTTTTCCGCTGGAGGAGCGACACCCCCTGTGGAGGATGGGGCGTCGCCTGCAGCCGCTTCAGTTGAGGATGAGCCTAAGACAGAGGAGGAATGGTTGGCCAGAGTTGCACAGGACGCTGCTAAGCGGAAAGAACTGCTGGAGCAGGTGGGGTGCAGAGTCTTTAATGACATTGTGGAATCTATGTGCTTAAATCAAGAAAGTTGAGGGATACTGGCGCACTGTTTGGAAGATCTGCAAGTGACACTAGATCTGCTTATCTTGGAATGAAAATCCCAGTGGACTGACTAAAAGCCCAAGCGGGGTATGCGATCTTTTGACAACCTTTTCTGAGTTTGTCTGATCATATAACAGGGTTTTTCAGTCTGCTCTATGTAGTCAGTTGACCAGCTTTTTGCCATGATGGCCTGGAATTCTCACACTATCTCAAGCAGCCACTCAAGGAACGGGACTCAATACTTTCTGCCCCAGCCATTCTCCAAAGGTCGTCAACTTCATCAGAAACGCACAAAAGCGACTGTTTACATGCCCTTCTCTTATCTCTCAGGTGCGGAATCAACTAGGGACCTGGTACGAGCGGGTCCGCTCGATGCGCATCCTCCAAAAGGCAGGCGAGCTGTCAGCTGAAGAAGTGGCCGATGAGGCGCGCCTAGTTGGCCTCGACTCCACCAGGCTCATGGTGGCAGGTTCGGTGAGAATAGCCCCTGTCGTCCTTCATTGTGGAGCTCTCGAGGCTGCCTCTATGAGCACTGACTGCCTTCATACCCAATAACTAAAGGTGGCCTCCCGGCCAGTGGCAACTGGTAGAAAGAGTTTCGTGTTTGCAGGTCCTGCCACCTATCAAAAAGTCTTGTATGCGCATGGTTAATCTGCTTGCCGGCTTTCTGCAGACTATTGTCGTGGTCTGGTTGCGCCTTTGTCTGAGCTTGCTTAATCGTGCTCCACAAAAATGGTTCAAGAACGAACTTGGAAAGCCCGTCGAACGCCAATGAGCGCCTCTCATATCCGGACAGAGTAAATCAAGGAGGTTCCATTCTGTCGAAAGTCTTGCTAGACACTGAACATCCTGATTTTGGCCGGTCTTACTCTTGCAACGAGCAGGTATACAGGTCATTCAATAGGGACGTCTTGACTGACTGCCGTGTAGTTACCGGTTCAATGCAACCCCCTCCTTTCGCAGGTGTATGATTCTTTGACTGACCTCGACCCTGAAGTATTGAGTCAATTTGGAGGTCCCGACGGACCGGTTGTTCTTTACGAGCTCAGGACGCTGTCGGTGGCACAGAGAGGGGTGAGCAGGCGGCACATCTTGTTCTTCGCAGTCGCGTGCGCTTATCTTTTCGTCGTTTGAAGTTATTTGTCAGCAGCAATAACGTTGAATCCTGCCTATCTTGTCCCTTTTGTTCTGCTTTCTTTTTTCCTAGTCATCCCTTCTCCGTCGACACTGTTGGTAGGTTTACCGAGCATGCCACGCTAATGAGCACTCTAATCGGTCCAGTGTTTTGCTGCCTCTTTCCTAAGGCAGGACGTTTGGGTTGGCCTTGGTTGCCGTCTACGTTGGGTTGCCGTCTCTCCTGTGAAGTGAAACATGTGGTCGTTAAACAACGAAACCGTCCATCTCTACAGACTTTGACCTCTACAAAGGTTGCCAACCAGATCATGTGACTTTCGATAACGAACCACTTAACGTAAGATGCAAAGGACAGGTTGTTTGCCGTTGCTTCATGCTTACCTTCGTAACCCGACTTTCTCTTTCTTTTGCAGCCTGTCGCGGAATACATTGTGGCCAATGGGTTGGACGTGGACGGCGCGCGGGAGGTGGTCAAGGCGGTCAAGGACCATGAGAGGCGGCCGGAAGGACGGGAGGTGAGCGATGCACGCTTGTCGCCCCTCTTTAATCTTAGTCTGTAGAGCGACCGAAACATGATGGCAAATATGATGCTCAGCGCCTGTGTGCCTTATCGTGCCAATGACTTCCAGGGAAACGAGCCGACAGAATATTCAAAGTGCATCACTCTCCTGTGGGAATCCAAGGAGGGAGCGAAAAGCGTAAGCAATATAATCTTCCGCAGCGAACAGCGGAACACTCTGCTCGACATATGTCGCCCTCATCCTCTAATTCCGGTCAGATTGAATGCCTTGGGGTTGCAAAACCCTCGTAGTTTGTCTTCGTTGAACTGACTGAATGCTCCTCGCAGCTTCCTTCAATCGATTGGTAAGCCAATGCGGCATCTTGTAAGTTCTTTCAGGTGCTGTTGCGCTGCTTCAGCGCAATTCATCCTTTTCTTCTCAACATCTCCGCCCTTTTGGTACACCCTTCAAAATATTCATTCTCCTTTCCAAACAGGTATTATGAGACGGACGGAGTGAACGTCTAAAAAGCAGGATGGGCCATTGCACCATGCTAAGAAAGCAACCGCTGAAACCGCAATGCGTTTGCGCAGGGCTTCACGGAGGCCCCTGGCGACACGCTCGCGTTCTGGTACTTCCGCATGGCGGGCGAGACGCGGGAGCCGGACAAGCGCGCGCGCCTCGTGGAAAAGGCGGCTGCGGTCGCAGAGAGCGAGTCGGCAAAGGAGCGCGTGGCCGAGTCTAGTTGACTACCTCGCACTAGGTATGGAGTTACAATTGTACGACACAAGTCTTCTTCTATACGGCAGGACACTCGTTGTAATACCAGATGTTGAACCCGCAGGGATATGGATTGACTTGTCAAAACCAGTCTTTTCTTATGACAGTCCCAGTGTCATGTGCCATACACCGGGCCCCTTCAAGTTCTTGTGCTCATGGCCTTGGATATTCGTCCGGTGCATCCTGCACAAAGCTTTCTCTTTATGCCGGTGAAGTTCCCAAGTTTTGAACGGTGTGCCTCCATAATCCGCTGGTGAGCTGCGATTCGGGTGCCTATTGCAAATCTCAGCTACAAACGCAGCTTCATTGAAAGTCGACTGGGTCGAGTCCAGTCGCAATGATTTCGTGAATCGAATGGCCCATTATGCTCCATTCAAATGGAGCACAATTTATCCTTCATGAAAGTCGGGGAAGCAGGTCTAATATGAGATTTAAATCTTGATAATATTCTGCGTTTGAATATCCCACACATTCGGGGGAATTCAGATGTCCCTCTCAAGCAGACCCACGAGATGCTGGTTCGTCGCCGTCCTTCAAGCATGGAGGAGGATAGCGGGAGTGCAAAATTTCCCAGCTCGACTGAAGTCAAAAGCACTTCGGCTTCTGGCAGATATGTCGCTCTGCCGCCTTTGTTTTGTCTTCAAAACATTCTGCCGGATCTCAGGAAATGCTGAGATCATTTGGCCCCCGCAGCAAAAGATCGGGAACATGTTCTTCTGGGTGTCCAGAGTTCCCACCTTTTGTCTCAATAACGGCATGTGAATTTGCAGACAACTCAAATTATCAACTTATCAAGTGCGGTTCCAGCCTGTTGTGAAACCTCTAGCCAACCTGCTGCAGAGCTCGATGCCGCTCTCTGACGATTCCGGTGAATTCGCTTTGCCATCAAGCAACGCGTCCTTCTTTGTGTGACATTTTCTTCGACACTACTCCAAGCAAAATAGAAATTGTTGACTTTCCTCGAATGAGAGCCAAGAACCTTCGACGGGCCCTCTGGCGCAAAATGTTTTGCCTTGCGGCCGTAGAACTGTTGTGGATCGACCTGTCCGAGGGCCTGGGAGAATGCTCCGGCTGATTGCCTGCATGGCTGTCGGGCCCTAATTGTGCCTCTGAATATTCAAACGGTACTACGGTACGTACTGCCGCGGTCTATCGTTTTATCGGAACCCCTTTTGCCGATCGGACGGCAATAAATTCAAGTTCATGCGCGCGCAGATGTCGGCCGAAATATGTTCGGCCGGCGGTTGGCCTCTCAAATTTTCGTACGAGTAGGTTCCACTTGTTCTAGCTCTCGCCTGCAGAAGTACCTAGGTGTAACGGCACCTTTCCGTATTGTACAGAGTAGTACATAACTTTGAATTATACATTTTTAGACTCATTACCAGCACTATGAGAACTATCAAAAATTCTATGCTGGTTAGCACAGGTCAGGGCAGGCTTGTGAAGCCTGCAAAAGTCTGCCCGCTCTTGTGGAGAGTGAGATCAAGGATCTCTAGTAGTGGTCTGCATCGTTCTCTATCATTTGTAGAATTCGGTCTATGCACAACGAGGCCCCCAAAACAGTGAATCGGAGAAGAGAAGCATGCACATTGTTCAGATGCTTCTCTTTGCTCCTTCCTCATTGACCCGTAAGCGAAGCACTAATCAATTGCTGGCGGCATTGGGCGTAGACCACAGCATTGCATGTTGGAGACAACCAAGATTCTCTTGCTAGTGCAAAGTCACTGATTCGGTAGTGAGCATTGGACTGCTCAGTCCACTTAAAGCAAGAAACCCTTTTCAAATGCTGCCCCTTCCGCAGCATTGCATGCACCTTCTTTTGCCAATCCAGCGGTCGGGCCACTAATCCAAGCCGTTCGCTCGGCATGGATCGCTCGGCAGCCTTCCCCTTGGGAAAGCTTATTCTGATCTCCCTTTGCATTGTTTTATGGGCGCCCCAAAGCGCGGCATGGCTGCCCAAAACGGCCCATAAATTCGCCGACGCCCCCCACATTCGCCTGCGCTCCGTGTCTCTCCGAGTGTTGGACCATCCTGAATTGTTACTCGGCAGCGATTCAAATGTTCGGAGCCACCGGAGCATGATGGAGTCTGTCCGAAGAGAGCTAGCCCAGGCGAATACTACGACGGGGGGGTTCAACAGCAGCGTTTTGGAGCAGCTAGGGTCGCCCCCAATCCAGGTCATGGTGACGCTCTCGGCAGCGGCCATGCTGCAGCCGGACACTTTTGGGAAGTTGAACGATGCGGCGGGGGCGGTGGATAGTAGTGTTCTGGGGTACCTGCCGGAGGATTCGTATTTACTATTGTGTCCAAACACGACCGCGGCGAAAAAGATTCAGGCGGCACTGCCGGCGGTGGTGTGGATGGGGGTGTATGATCCCAGCCATAAGATGGCCCCCGAATGGATACAGATCAGCCAGTGAGTTGTCTTACCATCGACCCTTCCTCTGTCCTCAGGGAAGGATTAGTCGACTGCCTAGTTCATGGTATGAGCTCTGCTGTTTTCCTGTTGCTTTGCCTGTAGAATGTACAGAATGTGATCTTACAAGGAAGTCAGGAACTCTTGGACATTTTGAGTCCAGGAGGACAGGAAGCAATCTTGGAAAAGCGAGCTGCCGCCCAAGTATTTGCAGAACGGAACGTGGAGAAATCATTAGGGCCAGATGCTACATGCCAATAATCTATCAAAAGGTACCGGCCTGGGCAGTTTTTGGAGATACAGAATATCTTGAATGCAACGCCAGAATTGCCACTTGTCACATGTAAAGACGGACTTTTGGACGCAACCTTAGTGTTTGTGAACAATCATTGAATCAAAGACCGTTGCTTGGAGCTAGTGTCAATAGTGCCAGTCTTTAACGGGTCTTCTTGTGTTGTAGGGTGGTTACGGGGGGCTCGTCCCCTGTGATGTCAAGCGGGGGGGACGCGGGAGCAGAATCGGTGGCTATCGACGATTTGAGCCGGGTGCTGATCGACGTGCGCCTGCCAGGAAGTGAGCTTTCAACCCGCCCATTCGTCTGCTGTTATGCCTTCTTTCAAACTAGACATCTGAACGCCGCTAGGACGAAGCAACTGAGAGATCAGCATGGGATGATGGCTGCCCAGTGGAGTCGGTGACGTAAGTAGGCGATGGGTCAGCCGTTAGCCAGGGTATCGAAGCCCACCGGATCACGGAGAGGTTGCTGCTCGAGGGTGCGCTTTTGCTGCGGACGACGTCCTTACAGCCGGAAGTAGCTGACACGTTGAGAGTCCGGTAAAGGGTGAGAATGCTCATTATCAAAATTGACAGCAATTGTCACGCTCGTTGAAGAACGGCTGTTAAGTATGAGAACGGTGAACCACGTTGAGCCCCTGTCAAGCTTATCGCTCCACCCTACAGGTGTTGCCAGCGGCGCTGACGTCAGTACTGACCTGGCGGGCGCGCTGGCAGCCCAGTGGAACGTCAGCCTCAATGTGTACCTTAAAGCGAACTGCAAGGGTAACGCCATACCCGCTGTGGTGACGAAAGCAGCACGGGATGTCGTCACGGCGGCCACACCCAGCATGTGCCTCAACGTAAGATTTCCACGTCTGCTAGAGACTGTACTTACGAAATCTGTTACGATTTTACTACAAAACAGAGGTTTTGTAGTGGGTGTGCGGTGTCCGTCATTGTCGACTTAGCTCGAACTTGAAGCTAGTGTTGGTCTCTTGATAAGGTTTCTCTGGTTGGGCGGGTTAGCTTTTGGATAAACAAACTGCGAGCAGAACGTCCATAGCTTGATAGCCGGTTTTGAGCAATTACTTTGCAGTTCCTCGGCTGCTATGAGACCTGGCTGCACGATCGGCTCAAGTTGACATCCAAAGCCATCGCTCGTCGTCCCCTCTGCGAGGCGCTCGAGAGTCGGGCCACGAGGTGTTTGATCTGTAACAGAAAACGCTTGCTGAAGCTGCTAAAAGGCCCTGTTACGGCTGTGTTGTTCGCAGATGGCTGTGGCGTGGCTGGCGGGACAGCCGTGGGCGCACTGGGTGGGGCCTCGTCCCGTGACCCGGTTGCATAACATGTACTCTAGCAGGTGAGCCGGAGAACCTCCGATAAAGTTTAGCAGTTCACAGAAATGCACGCTCCTTCTCGCCAAGCAAACGGTTCAATCACGGTCATTTTTGCGCGCTAGATAGCTAAGGACGCCTCAGCTTTAGCCTCACCGACTTCCAATCCCGATAGAAAGGCTTTTCCTAGGTCGGCGTCCCTGTTTACCAACTCGACTGACAGTCAGTCTGACGAGTATCGACTGCCAAAAAGCGCAAAGGCACAGCTGCGACGGCGACTCTGCACTCTGCTTCTGACACGTGCCACCTTCTCGTTGGTCTCTGTTCAGCCTCACCCAGAGCTCTATGGCTCTGGCCCTCAGCCCCGGCGTTACGGACGGCGTCAGTTACGGCACTGCCCGTCCGGTTTGGGACGCGGGAATCATGGGCCAGAACCAGATCGTGGGCATGGGCGACAGCGGAGTCGACTGGAACAGGTACGAGGTCGCCGTCTTACAGCTTTTTTAAACTGCTGCCTATCGATTTATCAGAGACGCCCAGCACGAAGACCTTTGAGTCGGACCACTTCCACTGAGGAGGGCGTACCGTTTTCTTCAGCAGCACGCCTTATCGATGCAGCCGCGCTTCTTGTTGTTGGAGCGCTTCTTGTTGTTGGATCGCTTTTCGTCTCTATGAGATTAAAGTTCTAACCCTAGATTTGAGTTCTAACCCTGGCTTCTCTGCCAGACGGCCGCCTACATTTCCGCCTACATCAGCATGTTATCTGCCTTTTATTATGAATGGGTTGAACGTCATACCCTCACGTTTACGCCTGACGTCTGGCTGTGTTCCCTTGCGTTGCAGCTGTTACTTCGTCGACCCAGCCGTTCCGGTTCCGGGCCCAACCCACCGGAAAGTGGTGGGCTACCGGCAGCTCTCCGGAGGCGACAACCTGGACGGGGAGGGCCACGGGACCCACGTGTGCGGCAGCATCTGTGGCCAGGTGAAAAGACGCCACATGTCCCTTGCTCGCTCTCAAACCGTTTGATTGTTCCTGAGACCGCTGCCAGGAAATCTATCAGAGTTGAGTTCAGTTGGTGTCTGTCAGAATCTTCCGTCGCGGAAAAGAGCAGGCGTCAAGAGCCCTTTCGGTAAAAAATTGCTGCGCCATGGGGAAGAAGAGGGAGACAAGGTTGGCGGTCGAGAGGAGATAAGAGTTTGGAACTCCTTGCAAAGCAGTTCTAATTGACAAGAACCGGCGCTGACATACATGGTCAACTCATCTAAACGCACCTGGATTAGTCGACTCCGCGGGTTCTTTCGCCACCGTTAAAACAGTTTGCAGATTGAGTACGAACAGAACTCATTGTGCTAGGCCTGCGCGCTTTGTTTGGTACGCTGCCAAGTTGCCGCTTTCGAAACAAGTCGCACGGATTCTGAGAAGTGTCCTCATCTCCGCGTTGCAGGCGGGCGATCTGACGCCTAGCCAGTACGACGGAATGGCCCCCAAGGCTCGCGTGTTTGTGTCCGATATGGGCACCGGGAACGTGGGCTACATCAACCCGCCCTCCGACCTCAATAACGACTACTTCAAGTGAGCGCCTCCGTTTGAGTGGTCTTGGTTTTAAAGTTGAATGGGCTCATTCTCTTGCCTCACAGGACGATGAATCATCCAGAAAAAATGGGAACCAGTTTGCTCGTAGGAGGCTTTTCCCCGGAGCGAACTGCTGTTACGTTACTCATTCTCCGGTTTGACGCTTGCTACGACTCACATTCCACTACGTAACATCGAACGGATGAAGAATCAGCGTTTGTCCCCGAAGTAGACTGCTCATAAGCGCTGACCCAATATGCGTCGCCTAAAAGCTTATGTTCGGTGGGGCAGGTACGCGTACGCGGCCGGCGCGCGCATTCACAGCGACTCGTGGGGCACCTCGGACGCGAGCTACTCGTCCATGTCGCAGGACGTCGACCAGTTCACGTGGACCAACCAGGTACGCCCACGTGTCTGCGTTTTTCAAAGCACTCTTGCTGGGCAGCCTTCTCTTCAAATCGCGGTCCCTTATAGTTAAGTTACGGGGTGGTTGAAGAAAGGAGACAGGGCAAAAAGGAGGAGACTCTGACGGCACGTTCAAGAAGCGAGAGCATGTTGGAGGCCCGGACAAAACGAGGCGGTCCGGCAACGATCGGATCAGCAGCTGTCCATCGTTTTTTGCACGTGGCCGTTGTTGCTGACGCACTCTCTCTCGATCGTTCTGAGCGGATGCCCGCACTGAGCAGACTCTGGAACAGGACCACAGCATCCGCATTAAGGCGTGTATAACCATTCACAAGTCCTCCGTTTTTTGGCCCAGCAACCGTCTCTTCCCCTAGGAGTCGCTGCTGCTGAGCCCTTCTTCTCTTATCTGATCCTTCTCCCATTTTCCCTCCGCAGGACTTCCTGCCTGTCATTGCGGCCGGCAACTCCGGCGCCCAGCACAACTACGGGCCGACCATCTACGCACCCGCCACCGCCAAGAACGCACTCACAGGTACGAACCTCCTCCCTTGGCACGCACTTTAGAGAGCACGAGTCGCTCCAGGGAAGCACGACCCATGTGCAAGACTAGGTTGTCGACCAAAGCGCAGCTTTCCCTGCAACCATCTTTCAAATCGTGGACAGCTAGTCCGACAAATGGCAGGCCCGATCACCCGCTGCAGTATGGAACCACTTTTGCCTACGCGAGTGAGCCACTAAGATCCTCTTTTTGAGTCCAAACACGGTTGTGCGGAAGACCAAAGTCTTGCAAAGTGCATAAACCTAAGCGGATCTGTTACGTGGCTCCTCCAGTGGGCGCCACGTGGGGCCCTTTCGGCCAGAGCGTATACAAAGACCCCGCCGGCAGCTTCATCATGACCTTTGACTTTTCAAAGCTCGGTCAACTTTCAAAACGCACGCAAACCCATGATCGTGCAAACACAGAATCTGAGCAAATCCGTTCGTGGTCCTCCAGTGGGCGCCACGTGGGGCCCCTTCGGCCAGAGCGTGTACAAGGAACCCGCCGGCAGCTTCATCATGACCGTTACCGGCCCCGCGCTCGACCTGAACGTCTTCAAGGTGTTCAACTCCGGCTTCGGGACCGACTTCAAGAAGCTGACGTCACCGCTGACGGCGGCAGCGGCCGTCCCGCAGGACGCGTGCTCCGGGCTGACGAATGCCGCGGCGGTGAAGGGGAAGGTGGTGCTCTTGGACCGGGGCACGTGCCTGTTCTCCGTCAAGGTGCGTTTGCGTGTTCTTTTTATGGGTTTTTTTTTGAGACTCCATCTAGGAATCATCGCGTTCTGATTTGTGGGCTTTTTCGGGTACTCGATTCTGGCTTTTAGATTCTAGAGGCAGTCGTTCGGGCACCTTTGAGTCGAACGAGGGTTGAATCGGAACTCCGTCCGGCCGTTGATTTGTTCAACACTGTGCTGACTAGAGTATTGTAGAGTCCGTTGATGTGTTTTGTCGACCTGGACGTGATAGTTGAAGTCAAGCACTTACATCGAGTAATTTCCGCCAAACTGATCTCCCACATCATTATCGTAATCTGAACCCCTTCAACTTGTCTGGCAGCAGTCTGAACGTTGTTCGTAACCTCTTCGCTGCTGCAGATCCAAAATGCCCAGACCGCGGGTGCGGCCGCGGTGCTCATCATGAACACGGACGCATTCCCACCGGGCTACTTCTCCATGAGCGCCGGCACGGCCGCTGGCAGTGTGAATATCCCCGCGGGGTCGCTGCCCAAGGCGATCGGCGCTATACTGTACGCAGCGCTCAAGGGAAAGACGGCAGTACAGCTCTCGTTTGCGGTGGTGAGTGGGGAAATCGAGTTTTGAATGCATAAGCGATGCGCCAGCGCTAAGTAATCAAGCGCTGTCTTTCATAACATCGCTTTCGACAGTGCTTTTACTTGAAGAAACGAATAGTACGGGAATAGGTGGACCCGGATCCCTGCTTGTCTGAATCTGGATTTCTTTGATCATGATCATCTATTTGTCAAATTGCTTAATGAAGTCCTTGTTGAGACTCTTAACCGCAGGCCTTCTCTTGAGTAGCCCGCTTGCACAAAGCCTGCCTTTGACGAGGTCTCCTTTCCTTTGTATGTTCGACGTCGAATCGAAGGCCTTGTTTCGCTCCTCGCAGGATTCTCGCACCGATGCGCGATACGACAACGTCGCGAGCTTCAGCAGCGTGGGGCCCACACAAGACGGGCGGATCAAGCCGGAGATTACGTCCCCCGGTAAGGCTGTTTTATGTGTGCACCTTTAGCTGCCGGCAGACGTCTTCTCCGAGCTCCATTTTTGGGAAGGGGACACGGAAGAGCGCATCTTTGACGTCATAACCTGCCGCCTCAAGATTGAAACATACTCCATTCTGCTTTGCACTTCTGCTTTTGCGCTTGGTTGAGGATAATAAATCTTGGTCCAAAGTAATTGCAGAGTCAGCGCGCTGCAAGAATCGGAGCGATACTGGAATAGAGACTGGTACCAGGTCCTTTCCGTTACGTGCCAAATCGACCTTGATGCCAAGAAAAATATCTAACAGTCAAAGGAACTCGCAGAAACGGCACGTGCTGTTTCCAAAGTGACGGCGATGCACCATATTTGAAGTCCTGCCCTCCTGATCTAGGCAAGCAGATCTGGAGATTTATGCAAGATGTGCTGACGTCCTGCTCCCGTGCAGGCGACACGGTGCGTTCCGCCAAGAGTTCCGGCCTGCTCAACGACCAGACGTGCAGCCAGGCGACGATGTCGGGAACTAGTATGGCGACGCCCATCACCGCGGGCTCCGCCGCGCTCGTGCGCCAGTACTACACCGACGGCTGGTACCCAACCGGGAAAGCGGTACGCACCAAGGATTTGTGTCGCATTGGTGGACGATTTTGGTGGAAACGAGTCTGCCGGGAGCCTGTCACAAACAGGATATCATATGAGCGCGTCTTACATGGGTTACCAGTGCACCGAAGGAACGAGTTTGACGTTTGGAGATTGGCAGATTCTGTGCTTTTCAGCCTCTCAAGATCTTGAGACCATGAACCTGAAGCATACTGGCTTCAAAGACAGCCGACATCATTCACTTGCTTATCCTCCTTCATGAAGGGCCCCGCGTATGATTCAAGTATGATTCAAGTATGATTCAAGTATGATTCTTCTTATTTTGGAGTTCTTACTGAGTCTCCGCGCAAGGGCAGGGAAGTCTCCATCATTTCCCCAGTCTGAAGCAGTCTGTGCTTGCGTGTAGACCCCCTCCAACCGGTTCCAGCCTAGCGGCGCTCTGGTGAAGGCGACTCTGATCAACGGAGCTGCGCTGATGGGCGGAGTAACCGGCGACGGGTGGCCGATCGACCTGCCGCCGTCAATGACGCAGGTCCGGCACCCGCTGACGTCACCATAGCACTTCTTCTTGAGATCCGATCTTCACCAGGAGCCCGTTCGGTTTCGCTTCTGGTTTTGAGTATTTCGGCAGTCTGGGCCATTCACAGAGCCTGTTCTCCGTCGGTGCATACAAAGCAGAGAGACATTTTCCAAAATTCCGCGAGAGTTTCTCACATTCGACGGTTCCGCTGAGTGTAGTCTGGAGCGATGCTACCGTCAGCAGTTCTGACAGTATCGCTTACGTGTCTTGCGACCTACTTGGGTTTCAGATCACACGCGAACGATCCTTTCGGATTGGTGGATTTGTTTGCGGAACTGATGCAGCAGCCTGTCGGATTTGGGGCAACGTTTGAATCATTGACCCACTTGTCTTACATAGTTGAACCCATTCCAGCTGGTTCTGACGTCTCTTTGCGCATTGCACAGGGCTTCGGACGAACGTTTTTGGCCAACAGCCTGAAGCTGCCCAACACGGCCTGGAGCATGTTCGTGCGCAACGGGACGTCCGTGCAGACCAGCAGCGGGCAGCGCTACTGCGTCTCGGTTGGGGCAAACAGCGGCGACCTCAAAGTCACGCTCGTCTGGTGAGGTCGCCGGGAAACGCCAAAGAAATGAGATTGGAGGAAGAATTTCAGTGCTAGCAGACTTGTGCCAACACCTCACTGCTAGAGTTTGTGGAGGCGAAAGGTATGCGTCGCACGGGAGTTGATCCGGTCCCCTCGTCAGGAGATGCTAGACTGAGACTGGAAGAACAAGGAGCAACTTTTGTAATTGAAGTTTGTGTTGGCGGGCTCTCTGTGACTCTGACACGTGTGTGACCAAAGTAACAAGGATCAAATCGGCAAGATGCGGTGCGGAGGACAGACCTGGAACTTGCTTCCCGGAATGGTGAAAGCAACTTAAGTCAACCACGACCCGAGGAGAGTGACGGAATCTGCTGACGTGTGCAGGCACGACGCGCCCGCCCTGCTGACCGCGAGCACGGTCCTCGTGAACGATCTCGACCTGGTGGTGACGTCACCTTCGGGGCGGGTATTCCTGGGCAACGGTCAAGCCGACCGCATGAACAACGTCGAGCAGGTATGGAGACGCGACAAGGGCATGCCTTTGACTTTGCAAAGGAAACGCCAGCCAAGCCGTAAACCTGCTGTAACCACACGATTTGTTCGTTACGAAAAGGAAGCTCACAATCTTGTTCTAAGATCCCTGACTTTTGTTACATCGCCCTTCAATCCATGCTAAAGCTAACGCCAAATCCACCGTACCTACGTTAGGCCGGCGACCTTATCATTCTCAACGCTTACTATCGTTCCAGGATTATTCAGAGGCTCTCCGTAATGATTCTGTCCCCGCACACTGCCGCCGTTTGCTTGTTCGCAGGTCTGGGTGCGCACCCCCGAACAGGGCGTCTACTTTTTGGACGTGAACGGTTACAAGGTGCCCATCGGCAAGACCGGCCAGCCCTTCGCTCTAGTTGCCAGAGGCCCGCTCAAGGAGGTGGCGTGCTACGGTACGTGCCCTTGCCTTTTCTGGTTGCACTGTCTGCCGCCCCAACCCTGCAAGCCGCCGAATCTTTGTCGAAGAGCACGAACAGTCAAGTTGCAGAGTGAAGGCATAACTTGATGAGGAGTCTGCGTTCCCGTTCAGCAGGCGTCTCAAAGAGACGGTCTCCTGTCGATGCTGGTTAGAAACTCCTCTGCCAGCATCTCTTCCCTTTTTTCGTACACAGAAGCGCTCTCTTTTCTGGGTATACCTCGTGATCATAACCCTGCTTGGATTCAAAACAATTCAGCCCTCCGCACTCGGAAAACTTCCAAACCTAGCCGCACTAAACCACTTTGTAACTTGCGACCAACCCACGCCCATTCCTACCGCCTCTTTCCAGACGCCCACGTGAGCGGCGGCCCCTCCGGCTTCACCAACAACCGCAGCCCCGTGTTTTACATCAGCGCGACCGCGGGCGCCAATCTGGTGCTCCAGTGTCGCCTGCAGTGCACCCCGAGCAGCTCCTCGTGCTTCGCCTGGAAGACGTGCACTTCTCCAGTCACGCTCAAGAGCCTCCCGGATGCGGCCTACACATTCTCCGTCCAGGTAATGACTTTGGCCTCCTTAACCGTGAGGGATTTCCGGGGTTAGGTGGGGGTTTGATGCGGTATTCTGGGAGGCAACGAACCGGTCGGCGTTGATTTGGAATGCGTCTCCAGCGGGACGAGTCGGCGGCGGGCGCTCTTGCGAGAAACGGAGGTTTGGGTCTATAGAGGTTCAGATCGAACTGCGTTGCCAAAAATTAAAACTCTGCCCGGGGGGTTTCGGGGTTATGCTCGCAAGACCTTGATTGATGCGCGTGTTTGCCATTTTAAAGCACGAAGAAAGGTCCGTCTCTATGGCAAATTCGGCATAAGAGTTTTTTCCTCTGTATTAATTACTTTCCTACGCTACCCCACCGTTTACATTTGAGAGTACGCACTATCACGTCAAGGGCTCCATCGCCCACTGCGTCTTCCGCTCCAATTAGTGGGAGAGCTGACCATCCGTTTGTGACTGTAAACCTGTGACCCCTAGCAGCTGGTGCTATAACCATCCAAATGCTTACTCATGGAAGCCGAGCACCTTAAGAAGTCGTATTCGTCATCAAACCCTGTCCTTCCTTCTTGGCAGATAATCGACACCAAGTACGGCATGCAGAGCACGCCCAGCTCCCAAACCTTCACGGTCCTAACCAAACCCCCCTCAACCACGCTGATGTCTTCCGACGCGCCCTCCAACGCTGCGACTGCGACTTTCACGTTCACCTCCCCCTCTGCCAACGTGGCATCGTACCAGTGCCAGCTCAACGGTACGAACCTTCGTGCTCCACCCGCCGATATCGGTACCGTCGTGAGCCAAGAGGGGCGGTCAGACTTAACCCATGGCTGGCAGCCTTGCTTTACCCCGGAGACGTACCAAGGGCAGTTCGACGGCGATTATATATTCTCAGTGCGGGCAGTCGACCTTGCGGGGAACGTCGATCCGAAGCCGCCCACCTTCTCCTGGAGTGTGAATACGCTCCAACCGAGCGCCAAGATCACGCAAGCGCCGGGGCTGTACACCAACAACTCCAGCCCAGTGTTCGCATTCACACTGAGCAAGGCCCCTGGGATCACCCCCGGGGTACCAGAGTGGAACTGCCGCTTGACTCCGGGAGACCCGGGCGCGTTTCAGAAGCTGACGTCATCCGAAGGAGTGGACGGGGAAGAGGCGCAGGCCGCGGCTGCCGCGGTTAGGCTCGCGCAGGGTTTGGTTATGGGCGGGGTTAATCCTAACCTGCACGACTGGGCGCCCTGTAAGTCCCCGGTGAACTTCACCGGCCTCCCCGACGGGGCCTATGCGTTCAGCGTCCGGGCGATTGACACTCAGGGCGCCAATGGACTCAGCAATGCCTCTGCGACCGTCGACTTCAGTGTCAACACCGTGCCGCCCCGCACGGCAGTCCTCTCGCAGCCGCCGGCCCTGGCAGCTGCCACGTCAGCCGCCTTCTACTTCATAAGCTCGGAGCCGGTGACATACTTATGCGAGCTGCGGTCAGCTTATGCGGTGGATCAAACGCAGTCCAAGTACAACCAGACGGCGACCATTGTCTACTCGTGGAGGGCTTGTTTGTCGCCCATATCTTTCCTGGGACTCCAAGATGGATCGTACACTCTCCTTATCCAAGCGACGGATCTGGCCGGAAATGGGGGCGCAACGATGCCGCTCGTATTCGGTCTTGATTCGACGGCGCCCACTCAGACTATCACGTCGGCCACGGTGCAGACTGGCACACTTCTGGTGAGACTCGACGCCGAAACCTTTGCAAGTAAGCTGCGTGGTGGCAGCGAGGGCGATGCTGCTGTTCCTACTGCCTGCAGTCTCTAAGGATTCAAAAGAAGGACTGGAATGGACTTCGATTTCGTGGAGCACTTTCTCCAGCTTTCAGTTCTATTCCTCTTTGACGAGGATTCCTCGCAGACCGGGAGTTCGAAGCAGAAAGTCTACCCTTTTCTCTTCTAGCCTTCATTCCCGTAAAACAAATACGTGCCATTCATTCCTATTGTCAAGCCTCATCATAACCAATATTCACCATCTTCTGTTATGCCAACTGCGATGTTCAAACAAGCCCCAAGCCCCCGAAACCCCCAAACCCTTTGTTTCAGGCGACCTTCTCCGGCGCCGACGGCGCGCGCGGCTCCGGGGTGGTGAGCTTCCAGTGCCGGTTAGTCCAAACCGGCCGCACAGCGCCCGGGTTTACCCCGTGCACGTCTCCGAGCACTTACAGCAACCTGTTCTGGGGGCAGTACAACTTCCAGGTCAAGGCGGTGGATGCCGCCGGGAACGTCGCGGGTTCGCCCGACGAGTACAACTTCACCATCGCAAACGCCGGCGTTTCCGGGCAGGTGAGAGGGTTCGCATTCAGTTTTGGACGACCTTGAAAATGGCTCCTCCTCTTTTGATGTCCCGCTTCGAAAGTCGACTGCAGATCAGGCGCTCTCAAAGCCTTTCGGGTGCTGACGACAAGAGCCCACAAGACGGCAACAGCTTCTGGTTACAGTTATGATCTGTCTTGTCGGGATGAATATCCTTCGCATTCCCCGTCACCTAGCTGCACGGATGTGCACGGTCCGCGTTTGCCTGATGCGCTGGATACCCTGCAGAGCACTCGCACCTTTGTATTGGTCACGGTCCGTTGGATTTTAGATTTGACGCCACGTGTCCTCCCCAGGTCGTCTCCTGGATGCGCGCGCCCTTCCCCGCCAAGATCTCCAGCCGCACCGCGGCCGCAATCGCGTTCGACGCGAGCGGCGCCGACGGGCTGACGCCGACGCCAAACCTCGGGGGTTTCGAGTGCAGCCTGGACTCGGGGAGCGTGCTCGCGTGCACGAGCCCCCGGTTCTTCAACATGCTGTCGGAAGGAGAGCACGTCTTCCGAGTGAGAGGCAAGGATACAAAGGGGGCGGCCGGGCCGTGGAATGGGTACAGCTGGATCGTAGGTGAGGGATTGAGAGAAGATGGACTCTGGGCTTTCTTCTGGGCTTTCTATGCTACCATTGCATAGCTATGGATTCTGGACTTTCTTTCCATTCCATTGCTATAATCACTCCATAGCTATAATCAACCCATAGCTGGACCGCAGGTGAGGTTTGAGGGGATTAGAGTTCTGGGCTCTAAGTCGGTAACTTAGTACTCTGAGTCCATCCGGTAATTTAGTACCCCTGGATCTGATTACAGAATCCAGTACATTAATAAGGATCCGAGGCTTTTGAGTCCAGAACCAAGAATCGTCTAGGGGCCTTCTTGAGTGTTTCAATGATTCACGGGTACAGTATATTGTTGGCTTGTCACCTGCGTTCAAACGTGTGCCAGGTATGCGGTATCATGTTTTCTTAACCAGCATCAGAACGTGACCTGGACAAATGCGGATATGAAAGGCCAAACTTTGAACGCGCATCGACAAGAGGGCTTTCTTCAGTTGCGACATAAGAGCCTTCTGCTAGCAGCTCTTAGCTGACATAAGAGGCCTTTTGCTAGCGGCTCTTACCGGATTAGAATCGAGTCTCGTTAATTTCGCGGCAAAACACCCTCAGCTCACTGCCAATCTCTCCTCTTCGCAGACACGCAAGCGCCTTCAACGGCCATCACGAGTCCAAAGTCACTGGTCCTGAACACGATCAGTCCAGTCTTCACGCTTTCCGGTGACGACGGAGCCACCGGAACCGGAATCGACCACTTTGAGTGCAAGCTGGAAGCCCAAGGGCAGGTCGTTGGCGACCCTTCCGCCGCGGAATCCGTCAGCAACTCGACCGGAATGCTGGTCAACTGGAAGCTGCACGACTGGCAGGCGTGCGGCGTGTCAACGTCGTTCCAGCAGCTGCCGAACGGGCTCTACAGGTACGCGCACTCACTTGACGAAACAGGGTCTGTGCGCTGGAGAGCTGAAATGTCTTGCGTCCTGGGCCATCCGAAATATCGATTCCTGAAGTTTGGATGTCGGTGTCTGATCAGATCCTCTTTAGGTCTTTGAGAGACGGGAAAGCATTTCCAGAACTACTTCTTTCCGAGCCTTTCATTTCGGACATGTGGAGTCGAATTTCACGCTTGTCCCCCGGTGCGATCATAAACAGGCCCGCCCACCCCAACATCCTGTGAATCTTTACAATTATTCTTTTGGCGGCCTTACGAGGCCATTGATATATCAGCCTCCAAAACCCCTAACCCATGCCCCGTGCCAGGTTCTCCGCGCGCGCGGTGGACGAGGCGGGCAACGCGGACCCGAGCCCCGACTTCCGCGACTTCTTGGTGAACAAGTGGGTCGTCGAGCTGGAGGCCTTCTCCGCGAGCAGCAGCCCGCTCGTGCTGCCGCCCTCGTCGGACGTCGTCCAGTGCGACCAGGGAGCGCGTACGTCCGCACACGCCCTGCGCTTCTAAGCTTTTAGCTTTTCTTGACCACCTATTTGGGGTTCTAGGGTTTAGCGTTCCCTGTTTGCTTCCATGAGAATATGGGGGAGGGTATCGCAGATCTGTTCAGGATTTCGTGCCGAAATTTCATCCGTGGACGTCACCAGAAGGATGCACTCACTATGGGACGTTGATGCTCCTTTTTCGACTGTTTAATTTCATCGCTGTAAGGGCCAAACGCTTCGAGCCGCACCAGGAGAACGAAGAAATTGCTCCTTTCCACTGTATCCTGAAAGTGGGCTGTTTAACAGACGTGCTCCGAGCTCCATAGTGTAGGGATGTCTAAATCAAGTAATGACCTTCTTTCCAGTACTATTGCTCGACCGGATTTCTCAACCTCTTGTCATTTATCCACAGCGAGCTGCCAATTCACGGTCGGACTGGACGGTGCTGCCGTCAGCGCCTTCGGCGGCCGCGTCATCGCGCTGTTCCCGGGATCGCCCTCTGCGACGTTCCCCAGGTGAGCCGCCACCTGTCCAAAATCCGGACGATGGATACCGCTTGCAGCTGTTCCGTACGGCGGCTCGAGCGTCATGCTGACGTCAGTACGTGCATTTTTGAAGCACCGGTGTCCACAGCCAGAGTTATGGGCTGCCAAGAATCGAAAGAACAGACGTTGGTATAAGCGAAAAAGACGAGGGTTTGCGACTTGTTCTGAGGGTTGCTTGTCGCTCTCCGCTCGTTCAATTGCTTCAACTTTGCCACATGTCTATGATGCTGTTGCCGCGCACTACATCCGCTTTCAGCCATTTCGACCCGGACATGGGTCGCTTCTCCGTTGAATCGACAATAGCCCGGGCTTTTGAACCCCGAGCTTTTTGGCCCGCTTCACAAACCGCTCACCGTACGCAGTTTATGCCTGGATCGCAGAGCATTCAAATCCGACACCCGCAACATCATGAAGCTCAAAATCGTAGAGCCGCAAAAGATTCAGATTTGAATTCGCTATTTCCCGCATTTCGCCCCGCAGCTTCTCCCTGAGCAGCGGCAGCGGCGCCCTTCTCGCGAACACCATCAGCGCGTCGCTCGGGCCGGGGCAGCCCCCGCAGCAGTTCAGCCTGCTCTCCCGGGTGGTCGCCATCCAGTCTACCGACCAGTCGACCGCAGTCCTGTCCGCGCCGGGGCTGCTCATGCTGCAGTACTCGGGGGACGCGGCCGCGCAGGCCAGGAGGCGCGCGCGCGCGCTGCTGGGTACGTTGGTCGCGGATCCCTTTTTGCGACCCTGAGACGACGAACTTGGTGATAGGATCCTCGCGACCTGTGAATGGTTTCAGTAGTATCGTGTAAGGCCTCTAAACTCTTGAACTCATGAATCCTGGACAGATATAGTGGATCGAACTTGCTGATCACGGCTGACGGTTGTCTCGTGGCGCCACAAAGAAGCAATCGCTACGATCAGTGCCTTCGAAAAAACTTGGCCTCCCGCAGGCCTCAGCGTTCAGTCGGAACCTCCTGAGAGCTTCAATGTCACTTAGATCACCGAAGACCTGAACGCCAAACAGCTTCTCTCCATCTCTTCGCCACAATCCGGAACTTTCTGAGCATCTTACAAAGCTTCAAACGTTGTGAAAGATCACCAACTTTTCCGCTCTCTCTCCACAGCAACCGGAAACGCAACGGACGGCCCCCCGGGGGTGCTTCTCTTCAACCCTGACCTGTCTGTGGGCAGTACTGCCAGCTGGCAGCAGGTGGCGAGCAGCGTGATCGTCACGTTCGAGGACGGCTACTGCACCGCCCAGGTGAAGGACCTGGGGAACTACGCCGTGGCGACGCTCTACGTCGGTGAGTGCATAATTCTCAAGAAAGATAACAATAAGCCCCGATAGCAATAAGCTCCGATAAGTCTGAAACCCTAACCTAGAAAGATGCCTGCTCCGCCCCCATACCCACCCTAACCACCAAAGTAACTCTACCCGTCCCAGTGCGGTTACCCTATCATTATCTCGGCTTATCATTGTCTTTCTTGAGTCTCATGTCGAGTACCCGGGAGACGCCAACCGGCCGGTCTGCAAACATGCGGTTCTGCGAGACTTTGTGTGGCGTCCACATGATTGGAGGGAAACCGGCCTACTCACCATCTCAGGTTGTTCAGATTCCCGCAAAAGTGTGTGATGGGCGGAAGAGAGTGCGGAGCGTCGAAGTTTTGAAACAGGCTTTAGTTTGCCAGGAGAAAGCCTTCTGCCCGGTTAGAGAGCCGCCTCTGTGAATGCGAATCTCTACACGTTCCCCAAAATGGGCGCACTCTCTCAAAGCAATTCTTCTTTTCGTTAATCCGCCGGCATCCCGAAGGTCAGTTTCTGCCAACTTTATCAAACTGACGGAGTCCATCCCACCCCCCTCCTGCAGCGCCTCCCGTTTCAGGTTTCATACCTTCGGACCCCACCCCCAGCCCGACGCCGACTCCCCCCCTCATCGTGCCCATCTACCAGCCCCCCCCCAGCGCAAACGAGTCCACGCCGGCCACTGTCATGTCGGCTTCCGTCGGAGGGGGTTCAATAATCCTGTACGTCATCATCTCTGTTGTGGCGATTGCACTAGCGACAGGTGAGGCCCCGCTTCCGTCCGCAAATGCGTGCGCTTTATCAAATGTTTATGTGCTTTTACCCCTTTGCATACATACGACGGAGCTTGTCGCGTCTATCGTGAACCCTCCCGCTGAAACTCTTCCCATTTCGCAGCGAGCCCTTGAACGGTTACAATAGTCCGAGATGATAGCTAGTTTCAATCCTGACACCAGGCCTTTTCAAACTTCGCGCAGGCGGGTTGCGTGCTGATAAGAAGCGGCGGCACCTTCTTGAAAAACTTCCAACATTATCTTTGAAAAGCTACACCATATCGGAAAGAGAACCACCTCCAAATTCTTGACACCAAAATTTTTTACACCCCGTGCAGGTGTCGCGGGTTGCGTGCTGGTGTGCAAGCGGCGGCAGCCCAGCAAGGCCGTGTCCATGTTCGCCCCCAAGGCGCCCGCGTTTGCGGACACGCCCAACGACAGTCCGCGGTCCGCGCAGCCGATGCGCCGCCGCAAGAGCCGCAAGTCAGGGACGCACTTCGAGTTGCCGCAGGACTCGCCGGGGGGTAAGAAACAGCGCGCTGCATCTTTGCTCTGTTATTGATTCCGAGGAGACTCCCTCGTTCTCCATGTTTTGCAACGTCATTCTTGTTGTGTTCCTGCTGGTAATCCACTTTCGTCGTTGCTTCCAATAAATGGCCGCAAGAGGCTTTCCAGATTAGTTGTTTTGGCTGGGGAAGAGAGGGCGAAGGACCCCAAAGTACGTCTCTTTGATTTGGGCGGACTCATCAACCGCCAATGTTAAGTCCTGAACGCAGCGACCACTGGTTTTCCAGGTTCTCTTCCGGGTACACCCCGAGGGCGACGCTTCTCGTCCGGCCCAGAGCTGGCACGGTCGCCGCTTTCCGTCGGTTCGATAAGAAAGTCGTTCACAGACAAGGTCCGCAAGATCAGCATGTCCGTCATGGGTCGCTCGGATGAGGTCATGCATACGCAATACGAGGACCTAGAAACAGTCGACCTAGAAGGCACCACGCCGACAGGGCAATGACGGGTTGCGCATCTGAATTGCTCGCGTTAGGTAATTAAGTATAGCAGGGAACCGCCATTTGAATGTTTTGCTTACGATTAGAAGCTCTAGCATGCGGTTAGTACTGTCCCACTCACATCCATTCGTTAAAGCTTACTCCAGAAGCGTGGCTACTTCCGAGTTCAGGACTAAATTTCTATCAGGGGGTAATCAGGTCCACCTCCTAGAAGTCTAGAGCTTTCTGACTGTATGCTTCATCCATAGACTTCTCGTCGGAGTCAACGTTCCGGATAGGGCCATTGTAGTGCTTACGGGCACTTACAAACCACCATACCAGAATGACAAGTCCAAAACCTCCTCCTGTAACCGGCGTGTAGTTGAAAGTCGCGCTGCGGTCAACATGGAGGTGATTGCGTGAATATCTTTGCAATGTTAGATGACCGTCCAAGGCAGATTTGCACCTGATATTTCTGCCCTAGAAGGTTCCAAATCAACCGACGCCAGCAAAGTAGTCGCATCCTGAGGGTTCCATTTGCGCGAGTCCCACTTATGTGAGCATTTTGAATTAGGTCATGTGCATTCACAAAAACTATGTGGTTTCGGCCTGCATAGACTGCACTTATAGCAAGTAACATGCCGTGTTGCCCTCGGGGTTACATTGAATCGCAACTACGACGTTTTGCTTGCCTCACCTGTTGATCGGGTAACTGAAGGGCAGGCAAAGAGCGACCAGCATGAATAACATATACACCACCGCGATCCAACCAACGATGTAAGTATACCTGCAAAAGACGCGAGCATGTGTTCCGATCTGCTTAGTCACTAGGAGCTCATCTTCATTTAGCTACAGCATCATTTGCCATGCGTTGCAAACGGAAGCAATGGTTGGCCAAATTTCTGTCCAATATCTTTCATGCTATAAAAAAGAAAAAGCCGCGCGCACTACGCGATTACCAGCATACGACTCGACTCTTTCATGTAGAAGACTTACCGCCCCATGTTGAATGGCCCTGGCTTGAAGTTTTGCGGGCACACTAAGCGGAGGCAGATCGGGACGATGTAGGCCACGTGGAAGGAGATTGACCCACACGTGGTCACAGCATTGAAAGCAATGACACTCTTCAGCGAGAAGAGCGCAAAGCAGAAGGAGAGCAGGGAGGAGATCCACACGGCCGCGACAGGAGTGTGCGAGCCCTTCGGAGACCAGTGCACGAAGCCGCTGAAAGGAACGGCCTTGTCACGGGACATGGCGAATAGCTGCAAAAGCAGAGGCTCTCTGTCGGTTGCAGGTTGCGACAGTTGTGCTACATGAACAAGTCGTTATTTTATGCGTGTTCTGATCGATCCGCGTTCCTATGACGCAGTATCATGTGCATCAAGCGATGCAACAGTCTGATCGCAAAATATTCGGCTGATGAGCTTGCGTGGCAAACGTGATCTGCCTTCCACAGAGTCCACAGGGTTTTCACATTGTCAATTCTAGGCTGAGGCGATTGAGAGAAGGCGTGTCTACTAGGTTGCGTCATTTGCGACGCTGAGTCCTTCTTGAACGACGACAATCAACTCGAAGTGACCCATTTCGGTTTGACAACACTTGCAGAAAGAGAAGACTTACCACCCGAGAGCAGGCTGCTATCTGAGGTACTCCACTACAGCAAGCGGTGACGAGGGGAATCGTCAGCAAGGCAATTGCACCATTGTAGCTCCGGCCTTTGCTTAAGAACGCGTCATAAAAGATCTGCCCGACCACGCTTCGACCAGCCGTTGCGTTCTGAGGATCTAATATGGTGGCAGGATCCTGCGGCAATAGAACATGACAGTCAAGAAAACAAGTCTTGCTTCAAGATCAACAGCGTCCTGCTCTTTGAATCAATCCTAGTGCTCAGACTATCTTATAATGCGCGATTCATGAGGACGACTTACGAGGACTTTTGTCAAACTCAGCGGGACTGTTGGATGCAGTGTCAAACGCAGCCTCAAATGCTACTACCCAGCGGCTGCTGGTGTGCCAGATGACGCGACACCTTAGGAAAAGTAAGCTTTAGGAATAGTAAGCTCAAATCAAACACTGAAATCCTATCCTATAGAAATCACCCGCTCCGCACCCGTACCCACCTTAACCCCCAGACTAACCCTAGCCGTCCCAGGCTGGTGAGCTTACTATTCCTAAAGCTTACTATTCCTAAAGTATCATGAAATGTGTGCCAGCTGTACCGACCTGGATACAGAACGTGAGGACAATGATGAAGATCCAGCCAAAGAAGCCCGCCGCTCCGACTGCGCTGATGATGGAGACGGGGGTGGTGACGTCCGAACCGACCGTCTCTTCGGACATGTGCACCGCAGCCTGCATCACACGACGGGCTTCTGTAGCGCTTGAAAATGGGGCAAACTTCCCCCAAGGAACTTCTGGCGGGTCGATCCAAAGGCCGTGTTAGTTACGCATGTAGGAAGAAGATGTGCATGGCCGGGCATTCGTTGCAATTTCGGCGACAGAGAACGCAGTTTGTCGCTGACACGGTTCTTGAGATTTGACATGAGAATCGACATCTGAACGAAGCTACATTTCTGTTGTCAAAGCAGAAGTGAGCAGAAAGCAACCACAAATTCCTACTTCAAGTTTGTCGTATACTCGTAGTCATCCTATTATGTAACTTGAAGTTGGCTCTTAAGTTCGAAAGCTTACGTCGTAGGCCCCAATTGACCATTGGGCCAGCAGCGAGCCAATCAACAAGACACGAAAGACATTGTCGATGCCTGTGCCCGCTGCAGGTTCGTAGTGAGTGAAGACGTACTTGGCCGATTGCTTGTGTGCTGTGCGGGCAAAAAGACAGATTGTCAAAGTCAAGGTCCAACATGTCGCTACAGTGAAAGGTTAAAGTCCCTCTGTTCCTCACGGTGCCAACAGACGGGTTGAGCTCGACTTTCGGAGCGGCCGTAGAGTTCCAACAGTAAAATACGATTGCATGCCATTACACCAAGCGGCCAGAAAACGGCGAGAACCTTTCAGATTGTCAATGGGCATGGCAGACAAGCCAAGGCGGGCGTTTTTACTGACAGTTCTAGACCTACTTAACATGAAGATGCACTAAGCTCTCCAGCCAAACTCGCCGCTAGCACTTATCTAGCAGTTAAGCGCTAACCTTCGGGTTATGTCAGTCAGGATATTCTGTGAATGCCTGGGACCCGCGGCACGGAAAGGAGTGACCCCAGGCATCCGTAACGAGCAAGCACCGCAGCGAAATCATTCAATCAAGCCCGTGAATCTGGCAGAAAGTATGGCTCTAGCTCACCAGAAACGGAAAAGCAAGGTGGCCACGATGACGACTAAACCGGCCAGCTCAACACAGAGGACCGTCTTTTCAAACACCGCCAGGATTCTGACGTTGAAGGTGTTGATGGTGGCCTGCACATGCATGATATATAAGCTGTGAGCGCAGCAATAAACCGCCGTTCGAAACGTGCGTCGATCACTGCGTCATTGCACCTGTACTATGACAAACTAAGGCGGGCCAACAAACCTTCTTGACAACGAGAGGCAGATGCTGAAGTGAGGGAATCTACAACGCAACCAGCTTGGCCTTTGCTGCCAACCTCATCACCTCAGCCTCTCAGAAAGAGCGAGAGACATCTTGTTAAATCAGACGAGCAGTTGGGAGCGTCTATGCGAAACCCACCTGGATGATGCAGAGGCCTGACATGATTGCCAAGATGAGCCCCTTGCTGGCAACATATCCACTTTCAGGACCAGGTCCTGTAGCGATGACCACTTGCGTTGCAATAATGTTGGCTGCTATGTTGTTGATGACGGCCAAACCGCACACGAAACCCAGGAAATTGTACCAGCCCTGTTTGTAAGCAAAAGCGGCTCGTGTCAGAGTCGAATCCATTTCAATTCAAGGTTGTCAGTGCAGAGACACCGTACCCTCTTTGAGTCAGCTTTTGCAGAAAAAAATCTGGATTTCTTTGAATCCTAAGATACCACATCCTCTTAGCACGAATCTTATTGACTAGACGATCTTTTTTCCACGTCTCTCACCACGGGTTACATAAAAGAGACACGATCTTCTTTTCGCCAAGGGCTAAAATAAGAGACGTCCTCAAAATCAGTCAGTGTTTTTTGTTTGTGTCCAAAAGCATACAGAACGACTTGGGCAGGCTGCAGATTGCGCAGATACCAATTCCAGTCAGAGGTTTTGCAAGCACGAGAAGGAGGGAAATGATTCCACAGCTCACCGTTATCCAGGACCAAAAGGGGCCCCACGTAGGCCCAGCCAAAACGTAAAACCAGGGGTAGAGGCCTCCGGCAGTCTGCAGCACTAGTTTGTTCTTTCAACTTGCGAGGTAGAAAGGAGTGTGTGACCACACCTCCATAATCAGGTGCTGGGGGAGCATATTTGAAACTTTTTGGACAGGAAGTACGCAGAGCCTAGGTTGCCCTTCAGTCTTGAGTATTGAGTGATCAAAAAGACCAAAAGGTGCTGCTCGGCAGCGCTGAGCCTTCTTACCTGCGTATGAAAGTTGGATACCAAACTGGAAAACAATGAGTGCCTTCTCAAGTATCACTTTTCTGGTTCTATTCTGACGTCACAGACAATCACATGCATAAAAGCCAAATATGAAAAGGACCTGTTGGCGGGGATTTCCAAGTTAAGCAAAAGATGGCCAACATGTCAAGAAAGGCATTCCTATAGCAAGAGAAACTCTGTGTTCCTGACTCCAAATCCTTGCAAGAAGGTACTTGGTTCTTAGAGTTGAGGAGTTCAAACTGACCGGTAGGCTGCTGCTGAGCTCTGCCATTGAAGATGCAATGAAGAGGCAGAAGATGCTGGTGAGGAACCAACCCCACACAACTGACACTGGGCCTCCATTCTGAAAGCCCCAGCCGTACAGACCAGTGACACCCATCAGTACTCCAATAATGGTGTAGCCAATTGCAAAGTTAGCAATTGCGCCCTGCAAGTAACACCAGAGTAACAACCTTAGCAGATGGATAAGAGGCCGGAGCCTCCAGTGGAGTGAATGTAGCAGAGTACTTGATGAGACAATATCACTTGGCTGGACTGTATTGGACATAGGTTGGTGGAACCGCGTGGCTTGGAGCGATCATGCAAGTGGTTGGGCCATCCCATTCATAGCAGTCAGGGAGTCAGTTTAACTTAAGCTGTGAGACTCAATAAAGAGAGGGGCCTTTGGTCTGACGACAAGCTTTGCCAACTCTGAGCTAACTGGCTGTCCTGTTGTGCCAAGTGATGAGAAGCTATTTATCTGATCAAAAGCAATTTACTTCTAGAAAGATAAATGTGAAGTCAGTACATTTGCTACTGTTTGTCCTGCATAAGATTGCCAAGTGATGACCCATGACTAGCCTGCAAAAGCAGGGCTTTAAGGGCAGCAAAGACAAGCTCACCAGTGCCCGAAACAACTCCTGCTTATACCTGCAAGCGAGGGCTAACTATCAGCCAGTGAGTTCTTCCAATGTCAATGCAAGGAGTGCTCAAGCCACGTGGGAGAACATGTTGAAGGCTGGGGCAGACTGAATTGGTGCGAGGAAAGGGAGTCATTGATCTGGCAGAATTAAGACTAGCTTCTGAGTGTGGCCAAAAAAGATTGAGACCTGAGCAGACAGATTTGAAACTGCACTCTTACATCATGACGGGTAATGCAGCCTTTCGAAATATATCAAGAATGTTGTGCTTGAAAGCAGGATCAGGTATTAGGGCAATCTCAATCAGCAATTAGGAATCCCGCTCAGTATTGCAACTTGCAAAGCTTACCCCAGCTCCCTCAATCGCTTCTCCCCCGAATCAATGGCCATCGCCTTTGTAGCCTTAAAGTGAGCCGGTGTGGAAGACACCTCTCCTTTCTTGACAAGAGCTGCACCCTCCATAGTACCTCACTCTCTTTACGTCTTTGGATCGTTTGGCCAAGAGAGGAAGAAGTCGAAATCGGTTTTACATCGGAAAGCAGTAACCAAGCTAGCAGCAGGCTGCCACTGTAACTCTCCGACCTTTCCGGATTTAATATGAGCCGGTTCATCTTGCAGTGGCGGCTTGCCGTCGGAGCTGCCTGGCCGTGGCTGGGCGTCTTCTTGCGACAGCCTGCCAGCCGGCAGGTGCGCCATCATGCAACAGAACTTACAGAAGAGTTCTTTGGTTGGGGTTGTACGTACCTCCTAATACTATCGGTACATACAGTTTTTTGGAGTACCTAAACCTTTGTCTCCTCCTTCAATTTGAGTCTAGCTTTAGCTGCTTTCTAGTCCACCTTCATACCAGTATACGGTCGGGTGCGACCTCACTGACGTCACAGGCTACTGCCCCCCTGCCGGGGGCCCGGGCCTTGCCATCACCGGCCGGGAATGACCGTTATGCAGGCCCCGGGCCGATTTGAGTCGGGTTCTTTTCCGTTCTGGGAAGAGCCTCACAACCGGAGCAGGTCCCCGGTTCCCAAAAACAGGGTGCGAGGTGCGCGGGCGACGGCACTGCGGCTGCCGGGGCAGACTTACACGCCCGGCTATGGTGAAGTTAGAATCCAGCTGTCCGGCCGGGTCGCGACCCCCCCTCCCCGGGCCCCGGCCCCCCACACGGGCACAACCAAATTAATTTGATCATGATTGGTGCCGCCTTGAAGCTTGGGATTTGGGCTAGCTACGAATTAATGTGGCACCAGGCAGACCGCACGACGCTGGCGGCTGCGCACGCCGCGCCGCATCGGTAACCCTGGGGTCAGGAGTCAGGACACTGTGAGTGGCTGAGCCTGAAACACATCAGATCCGTCAAGACCAGTACAAACCTAAGTATCTCAACCCGCTTTGGACGGCCGGGCTTGCCTGCCACACTAATGTGAAGCCGCATACCGTAATCGCAATCGATGCTACAGCCTACAACAACCTAGGATGCCGCCCAGGCCGTAGGATCCTCTACCAGCTGGCCTTCAACCCGGTAGCTGATCTAGACCAGCAACCGGGTTTTACATTTTAGTGCCGGCCCGTTCCCTGCTAGCTAAGCATGAGTAGCCAGCGGGCGCCCATGCAGAGAAGTAGATCTACCGGTTTCCTCAGGTAGATCGCCCCATTTTGTCGTATCCATCCTGGACTTCGGATTGGCTGGAGCTCTCGTTAAGGTTAGGTTCTAGAGAACCGACAGATCCTCGCTTATGACTTGTCCAAGGTGCAGGTTAACCCCGTACCTTCCGGATCATGGTGGCCACCTTCTCCCCTCCTCCTCGACCCTTTCACAGAAACCACCGCACAGAATGGCAAAGGCGCGTCCATTGGTGTCCTGGGCGGAAGCCAGGCAGCCGGGATCGAGTGCCCCTGTTAACTGCGTCATATAGCCGAGACGACCGTGCCCTGAGCCCGATCCCTGCTCGGGCAAATTGCCTCCAGGTGGGCAGTAACCGGATCAACTTGGCAAGATCTGAGGTTAATCAGCTTGGCATCGACGGCTCGGTAAACGAAAGAGCATCGGACGGCTGGAATATTACAAAGCCATCCAGTGCCCGCCTTTCCACTGTAAAGGCCCGCTAATCTACGTAACCCGGTTTAACATGACAGACTTTTTCCACACCGGCGCACGATGATCAAAGCGTCATCTTTAGTTTCGACGCCTAGTTTTCCTTCTGAAAGTCGTGAAAACTTGATGATCAAGTTGGCTGAACTACATCACCGGACGCTCTCTGTGAGAGTCTAGTGACAATTAGGCAGTAGATGATCGAATAACATCTGTGCATTGAACGGTAGATTCTTACAAACCACTAGGGCCAGCAAAACCAATTAATCCATAGTAGAGCATATTTGGAGGTTTGCGACAATCTGCTGACCTTTTCGGTCTCGTTCTCAAACGCAGAGAGCATTGTTCCGCATGAGATACTTCTGCACTGCACGTCCTTTGTTTGAACCATTCTATTCATAGAGAACTCCACGCGGACCACATTCGTTATCTAATGGGCTGCCACGTCCTCCTTAGAAGCTGGTACCGTTGCACCGACTCCCCTTCCGCCTCCTTCAATAAAGTATCCTGGATCTCTACCCTAATCTGGTCACTCCCCCCAGTCTCGTTGCCCGGGGGATCCCCCTTTCCCCCGAGCCCTTCTACCAAGAGCTGCAACGGTCGCTCCGCTTGGTCCACTTCGTCGTCGCTCGAGTAGCCGCGCGCATCGAGCGCCGCGGCCGCGTCGCAATCCTTGCCGAAGCGCACGCGCAGGGGGGCCGACGGCGCGGCCACATAGGTGCAGGGCGCGGCGGGCGCGTTGTACAGATAGGAGGGGCCCATGTCGGCCTCGCCCTTGCGCCGCTTCTCCATTGAAACCTGGGGCAAAAGAAGAGCGTTAGGAGCACTGTTCGTGGCCAGTGTTCTCTTTCTGAGTGCAGTGGCCGGAGCTGACAACAGCAGATTGCACGACGAAAGAGGTCGGGCTTGCAGCTTCCTTGTTTTCCGAACCGTCTTGAACTGGATGCAAAATTTCATCTTTGTTTTCAAAGATCGCACGAAGTATCGGGGTCATATAAGAGTCGCCGAAAGACAGTCTCTTTCATCCTGCGACGTGAAGCTTAATCATCCTCCAAAGCAAATTGTTGTCCTTGACCGGTTGGTCGGAGATTGTCTACTCATCCGGCGAGAAATCCAAACGTTCTCTCACCTCCGCGTTGAAGGCTGCTAAAAGAGAGGCTGGGACAGGTTCCGGCGCATGGTAGTCCGGCACGAAGAGGTACAGCACGCGTCGGATCAACGGAAGCGTCAAAGGCCCGCACACCTGCCAAGGATGCAAAAAACTCAAGCCCATCAAGCCTTGTCTGAAAACAATCAACCGACTAAAACGAGGCACTCTCCACGGGTTCCAGAAAAGTGTCACGAGGACGACCGCTTCTTGTAACTTTGTCCTTCGGGACACATGCTTTGCAAGCGGTCGATTTGAAAGTTGAGACTTTGGCACAGCATCTCACGAAGAATCGAGGGGTCTTGCCATCCTTGACGCGGCAAAAGAAACAAAAAGCGGGGGACTCAGGACTTGTGTCCCGTGCAAGCATCATGAAAACGCAAAAATGATGCGATTGCTCCGAGGCTCACCTCTTTTCTGACGGCCCGGTCCATGAGCATCTCCTTTGGCAGCATCAGCAGGTCCGCAGCGGCGCGCAGGTAAGGGGACGGTTCCGCTCCGGGAGGTGCTGAGGAGGGCGAAGCGGAGCCGCATTCCGTTCCGTTCAGGAGCTCTCCGCTGAGGAGCTGCGGCAGCCATTCGGACCAGGCCTTGATGGCGATCTTGAGCTGGACGCCCCCTGAAGGAGAAAAATGACTTCAAGATGAGACTTCGACTGGTGTAGCTCCATACATTCAAAGACAAGATAATCTGGTCTGGAGGATCGTCTTCCTCCCTTGCAATGTCAAGAAGGGAGCGGTGATCCAGGAGTTTTACATGGCGGTCCGAGCTGTCCAAACAAGAGGAGCTGCCTAGTTTCGACCTGGCCTTGACAAACAAGGAGACGTACGACCAAGCAAGCCCACAATTGCTCCTGCGTAGATTCCGTCTATCTCCCCTTCCTTCTTTAATCCATTGATACGACTGACCCATTTTACTGCGGTCTGCTCTGAAACAATTGTCGTCGCATGTTTCCAATCGAAGTCGAAGTTCCATAACGCAGCCTGGCGACAAACGCCTACGTCATATTCGATGCTAGTGCGCGCGCGCTCACCTCCAAACGTGAGCTTTCCCGCGGGGATGGGCAGCGCGCTCGGCTCGGTGAGGGGATCGCTTATGGGATCCGTGGGCCCGTCGATCTTGGGGTCCCGCAGCAACGCATTGAAGAGGGCGACGTCCAGCCGTGCGATGCAGTGGTCTAATACCTGTAAGGAAGCGCCCTAAAATCTTCTCAACGGTTCAAGAATCCTGTTTGTCGGACGCAAGGGACTCGGAGGAACAAAAGGGAAACCGTGTAACTTCAAACGCCAAAGTGGCATGCTGCATACCGTGACAGAAGAAGATACAAGGACAGCGGTCCATGGTTGGACCGTTCTAAACGCCGCTTCTGAAAGGTAAAATAGGAGCCCGTCTCAGCTGTTCATGACATGTTTATTGCACCTCGAGCTTGACTTTGATCGCGCCAGGAAAACAAGCCAAACCGACTCCAGTGGATCAAAAGTAGACAAAAATTTCCAGGCCAGATGCGTATAGCTTGTCGGAAAAACCTGTTCTAAAGGTACCGCACCCTCTCTTGCGCTGCTCACCTGTTGTGTCAACACGTGTAGGCAGCCGCACTCGCGCCCCTCCGCGCGCGCGGGACAACACAGTTTCTCCACCTCGAGTAGTACCCCCTTCCACAGCTCAACACACTCCAGTGGACTCTCCTCGCAACCCTGACCCCCCCGACTCCCTTGCCTTTTCTCCCCACTTACACCGATACCGCTTCCGTTCGCCTTTCCGTTTCCGCTTCCACTGCCGTTTTCGTGTCCGTTCTCGGTGCGTCCGCTGGGGCTAGCTTCGCCCCCTCCGATCACGCCGTCTTCCGTCGGCGCAGACCTCCTCGTTCGCGAGCTCGCCGGAGTTTTCACACCGCTCGTGGACGGCGAATCCGACTCGGACACGTCAGCGCTTTCGGACGCTTCACCTGACGACGGACTCGCCGGGCCTTTCGCTTTGTCCAATTTGCTCCGAAACCCAACAACCTTCCCATTACTCCCGATGATCTGCCCCTTCTTGTCCACCTTCGGGCCCTTGGAAGGAGGGGCCCGGTCCGTCCTCCCGACCGGCACCTTGCTGACGTCGATCACGAGCTCCGTCTTCTTCAGCGGCGGCGTGCTGACGTCAGCGCCGGTACGGACCTCGGCCTTCCTCCGGTACCCGGGCTGCATGGGCGGGTTCATCACGCGCCACCACAGGAGCTGCAGAACCTTTCCGCAAATCCAAGCCTCCGTTTTCTTCAGCGCGTCGCAGTAACCCGCCGCGGTTTTCCATCCCGATTTGCCTTTGCCCGCGTCCGGAGCGGAACTACCGGCTGAGTCGTCCCCTTTGTTCACGCCGGGTTTCGCGGGCGGGGTGTCTCGGGATGGGGCTGCCTTTCCGGAGCTCCGGTTGAGCATCCGCTCCGCTTCGAGGATCTCCGCTGAGACCTTGGGGGCGGGCGCGGCTGCTGACGTCTCCGTTCTGTGTCCAAAAGGGTTGAGGCGGTGTTAAGCGACTAACCAAAATTGCAACCAATTGTGGAGGCTCTTTGAACGGAGTTCCGAATCAAGCAGCCTTCGCTGTCAGGACGAACCCGAATGCCCGATACACTGCTCGACGGTCTCCAGATTGGGCAAGCCGTGAAGCATTGAGCAGCAAGGCACGCAGTCAGGAACCGTCTGTAGCCTGCTCGCATTCTCAGAGAAGCATGTAGGTAATCATCGGTTAGGACATCTACCCCAGGCACACTCCTCACCGTTTCCTCTCCTCTGCAATCCGCATCTCGATGTCAAACCCGGCCGCAACCATCTCCCGCAACACAACACAGTTCGACCACCAGTAGACGAGCCTCCCGACGTCGTCCCCGCATGCCCGGGCCGCTAGAATCAGTCCCGAGACGCTGTTCCGAGCCGTTCCCGCTGCAATCTCTGGGGGCCAGAGCCCGTTTCCCCGTGCCTGGATGTACGCGCGTGCCAGCCGCCGGGCCGGGGTGTGCAGCTTGTGTGCGGTTTGCCCGTGGACGGACACAGCGGTGTGAATGGCCACCTCGAGCGCGGCACAGTCCCGGAGCTCCCCCTGGAAAGGAAAAGGGCCGTACTAGAGGCGGTCAGTCGTCTTTTTCAAGGTTGCAGTGTCATTGAAATGATCTTGACCTTAGTCGGTCACAAGTTTCAAGGATACGATATGGTGGCAGAACTATTGGGCCTCGTGTCTGAAGCATTCAACAGTCTTTGATTCGCAGCGCTGTCAACTACTGTGCCTTCGCACCTTTCTCCCTACACACGCAGCATACGCAAACATACTTTTCCGCCTACAACTGGCTACTCGAAGTACGAAAATAAGCTGATTCTGAGCTGCTTGGGCAATCTCAATGCCGAGATAAGATGCAGACCAGCTCAGTACTGGCACGAGCCCTGCTTACCTCTAACCTCAAAACCCGTGACTCAGCTGTTGTCGCTCGCTCTTGCGCCAGCCTGACCTTTTCTGCGGCATCCAGAACAGCCATTGACATCTGCAGCACAGGCAACACGGACAGGTCAGCCTATGTGTGCCGTGAAAAAACATCCTTCTTATACGTTCTGCTTTTTGCCGTGCTTATGCTTGGGCATCCTGGAGATTGAATGCTTCTAGGACACCGTGCATCATTGCATGACGTCCTCAAAGTGGTCCCTCTTCTAAGAAGTGTTTGGAGCGAGCTTTCATGGCTAGGGACTCATCTGCCACTAGGTTCCTAAGTCCGGTAGGGATGCAATCACGAAACGTTGATCTGTACAAGAAAGAGCTTTGGCCTGCTCGATCACTCACTGACTACGACCTTCTAGCAATTGGCTGATCTCATGCCAGCTGCAAGTTGCGTAACTTACCAAGGCAATTAGAGGATGGGTTACCAGCCCTACCTTTGCATTTTCTGTGCCTGGCTTGTTCTTTAACGCAATCGGCTTCCCCTGCGGCATGGCCATACCCGCCTTTCCCACCGCCGCTGATACTACTGCCCCATCGCTCACTCCCTCGCCATAATCTGGATGCGGTGGCATCGCGCCCTGCTGCATGGCGGACTTCGAAAGTGCAGCTTTTGCTGAGGCCTCCGGTAAAGCTTTTGCTTCCTGGCTCGACTTTGCACCTTTTTGCACTTCTGTATTGCTTGAAGCACCTGTCGTCTGACTTCTGGGTGGGGCTTTAGAGGTGCTTCTATCTGGCGTGCTTGCAGGAATGATAGGGGTGCTCCCATTAGGAGTGCTTGCAGGCTTTGTAGGCGTGCGTATTTCGGGAGTGCGTGCAACGCTGGCCGTTCGGGACGGGCTTTTTGGCTTGGGTGTTTCCACGGCTTCAAAGTCATCCTCCGTCATGAAGTCCAAATCACTGTCGTCATCTGCATCATCGGCAGCGCTTCCTTTTCGTTTTCTAACCTCCTCTTCGTCATCTTCTACTTCTTCACCGTCCCCCTCCGCAGTCGCTCTGCTTTCCCGCTGTCCATTTCTAGCTCCATTCTGCCTCCCAGGCTGGCTGCTCAGTTCCCCGTCGCTGCCTTCATCTTCGCTTTCCATCAGCGAGTCTATCAAATCTTGGTCAACCGCTTCCGGTGGAGCGGCCGCTGGCTTGCTCAGCGCCGACTTCGCCTTCTTAAGCTCAGCTTTTGGCTTCTCCTGCCTCAGACTCATCGACTTCTCAAGAACCACTGCCTTCTTGGCCTTGGCGCTCAAACACGTGACCGTTGCCTCAATGTGGATAGCCTGACCGCCATTTGCCTTCTCAATCTGCTTGTTTACAGCCAGCCGGATCTTCAGAAACTTCCCCACCGGCATGACATCACTCCCCCCAGCTGCAAATTCCGCGAGGTCCAGCACCCCACGGCCCAGCGGCGGCTCCTTTGGCTGCCCGTCGCTTGCGGCATCGTGCAGTGTCAAAATGATGGTCTTCTTCTGCCAGATGTGACTGTCCCCGTCAGCACCTCTGCTCGGGCTCTTGTGCGCGGCATGCTCTTTATGCAATGTGGCAGGTATCTCAAACAGCTCATTGAAGTGAATGGCCCCTGCCGCTGCACCTTCCTCATCGCTGCTGACGTCACCAGGTTCAACAAAGGCCACCTTGCTGGTGCCTGATCGCTTGTTGTCCCTGTTCCACTTGAGGACCAGCCCCGCCGGCTTGTCTTCCGCTCTGCCCTTGCTTTTCAGCTGCACCCATGGCTGCACGCACTGAACCTGGACATTGAAGGTGAAGCGCTCCTCGCCCTTGTGATTCCCAAACAGGAAATCCATCTTGGAGGATCAAAAGATCTACCAGAGCTGGTACCTAAATGCTTATGCTAGCTGCCTTGACGAGACTCTCCACAGTCGATCTGTCAGACAAGGCAGAGCCATTGTCTAATCACTTGCCGTCCACCCTGAGGTCATTGGTTGGTCCTGAGAAACACTGGTTCTTCTACTTTTTCCTCAGAGAAGTGCTCTACCAAGGACCTGCAGATATAGCTATCTATCTTTCAGGGGTTTGAATGGAGGGCTATGTACTTGAAAACCTTTCAAGGCTCGCTATATACATATAGCCGCCGGCGCCAGACAGTTGTGCATCGTGCAAGAAAAAGCAAAGGAGTCGCAAGAAACGTCTTCCCTTGAAAGTGAAAGGGGGGCGCTGATGCCACAAGCAAGAACTTTGTGACAGTGGCTTGCATGCCAGCACAGGTCCGCCCTGAATACCCAGGTGGCCCTTACCCTTACACATCAGTATACCTAACAGAGTTTGACACCAGATACTGATCAGCTACTGGTCAAAGGAACCGTGTATGACATTGCCGCGCGCGATGAATGTATCGGACGGGTGAAGACAACGGAGATTTGTCGAAGAAGTCCCATCGACGGTGAGGATCACCGGAGAAAAAGAATCCCTTGCAGGATCAGGAGATATTGGACGGAGTATAATTTCTGTAACAGTACAGTGTACGTAGGTACATACGCACAGGATCAGATTCAGCCGGCAATGTTGGCGGCGCCTTTTCCCTTCTTCTTCCTCAAATATTCACACATACATACGTATCTTGCGGCTCTCAGTAAAACATTCACTTTTCTCTGCGTGCGGAGCGTGTGATAGAAGAGTCACAGATTAGCAGAGGCTAAGGAAGACGGTAGAGAAGCTTCTGCCAGTATACCCCCAGTATAAGCTGTCCCTGATGAATTTGCCACCTTTGCTTCACTAAATGCTGCTCATCTGATGACACAAACGTACTGCATCAATTCAGTCTGATCGAGTCCGTCTGTCTCAAAAGGTCACGTGCAATTTACCACTGATGCAGTGCATGTCTTGCTTCAGCCATTCGTTGTTTTCCTACCCTTCTCCCTACTTCAACAAAGATGCAGAGCTCACCTTCATCTTCCCAGAGCTTTGAAGTAAAACTCAAAATGAAAGCTGACGGTCCGTCAATCAATTACTTGCATAATGGTATGGGCAGTAGTCCCAACAGAGAATCTCCATACCAGGCAGCAGATGCAGCTAGCCCTAGAGCCATTTGCGTAGGTGAAGGGTTGAGTCCAAGATCCGTAAGAAGCGCTGAAGGTGCCAGTTCACAAGCAGAAGAGGCAATCAGCACATTCACTACCGCACTGAAACTCAGTGAAATCAGGACGCGGCGAGCGGTAAACGAACTGGAAGAGTTTCAAAGGGCTCCCTTGACAGTGTATGCAGCCACATGGAATCTGAACGGAAAGGTATGTCACCTCACATCTTCAAACTTGTGGCTAACAGCTTGATCTTGAGGATCCAAAGAGAGGTAAAGTTTCATTCAGGCGTGGTAATATCGTCGAGAAGGTCTTCTCCCTGCAACGTATTGTTAATCTCTCAACCGCGGTCCCTTGTGAGCTTGCTCTGACTCACCTTAAAACCTCTGCAGATGCCTCCCCACCGTCTACCTGAGCTGCTAGGAATAGGCCCATCAAACACCTTCTGCGACTTGTATGCTATTGGTGTTCAAGAAGCGCCCTCGATTGGCATCGAGCTCCAAGTCCTTGCAACGCTCGGAGAAGATTACAAGTGAGCCAAGCAAGCCGTGAACAGCAGAATTTGTCCTCCACGGTTTACTTGTCATTGCGAATTACAATTCAAGGGAGTTTGCAGCCCCTTCGGATGTTACACAATGGCTGGAAATCATAGCATGCGCATGCTTCGTAAAAATGGACGATCTAAAAAGTGTCCTGCTGAAAGCTTCCAGGCCACTTGAAAGCTCGTGTAGACCAGGTTGCTGTGAAGTTGGTAAATGTACCCTTTTCCACTTAGTTCGATGCCTTTCGGGCAGATAGAACCTTCACTTGTAAGACATACTCATACAAAGTACTCATCGCTTTATCAGACCCTTGTGATGCTTGATCCATCCCATGGATGATTGGATTCAATGCACATACCCTTTCTTTCCCTTTTTGCAGGAAGCTCGTTCATGTGTCACTCGCTTCCATCCATCTTACCCTGTTCGTCAAGAAAGAGCTTGCCTCCGAGATGTCTGACATTCACACAGACAGAGTAGCCACTGGCGTGGCTGCTTTCTTTGGAAACAAGGGCGGGGTGGCAGCTGCCTTCACCTACCGAGGCACCACGTTTCTCTTTGTCACCTGCCATCTCGCAGGTAAGATGTTGAATCAGGCTCACTTATTGTGCGTCGACAGCTGATGCAAACCGTCTGAGTTTCTGGGAGCAGGGAAAGGAGGTCCTAAAGAGCCGTCCGTTCAGGTTGTTCGTTGTGAAGTCAAACGGGGAGGACGTCCGACGAAAGTCAAGGGCTTTTGAAAGCTTCACGTAAGAACCTGCTTCGGGGCCTTGTGTTCAAGCAGAGAAAGCAGCGGGGCCTACTTCGAGACCAACTCGACATCACTCTAAACTGAAGACGATTTGCGTGCGCGGTTTGCAGCGCATCAGGACGCCGTATTGGAGCGGAACGACCAGTTCGGCCGCATCAGCCGGACCCTCTTTGTAAAAGAACGGGACTGGGCAAGAAGGGTCAACCAAGAACGGGTCCAATCGAGCAGCCCACGATCCCCCCGAACGGTTCGATCCCCGCCCCCACAAACCGCCCTCTCAAGCCAGCCTGCAGCTTCGCTTTACTCCCCCGGAACAAGTTCCCCGGGTACTAATCACTCAAGCCACTCCTCTGAATCAGCGACACTATCTGGGGCTGCGACGTACAGAAGCGTTGCATCCCCCTCTCAGCGAGACTCCCGTTCTGAGCCGCATGCCAATGTTACCGGGAATAGGATGACGGAGATCCAACCGACTGGATTTGAAAGCTCGCCCCTGAGCCCGCACTTTACCCCGGGGCAGATCACCGATACTCGAAAAGCTGGTGAGAGAGTAGGGAACTCGAGCGTCGCTGGAGTTCCGCCTGAGCCATCGGTTTCTTCTGAGGCGCTCCTGAAGCCCCACGTGGCGGACGATTTCGATATCATCGTGTGGAGCGGCGATCTGAACTACCGGGTGGAAGGCAACCGGAGGGTGGCGGATGCTGCTCTCGAGCAGAACTTGCTGGAGGTACGGAAAAGACATCTCGCGCCTGGTTCATTGGGATTCAATGGTTGGCCCCTTCAGACGAAAGAGATAATCTGCTTCTCACACGAGCACAGCTTTACCGTATGTTTTGACCGAGGCAAACCATGCGCTGGTCGCATGCAGATGTAAGATTGGAGTGTGTGCAAGCTGCAATGTCTCGAACCGTGGCTGACTGCCTCGAACTTCTCCGAACAACAGAGAAATGAGTCCTTCGGCGGAAGACAACCTACCTGAACGGCAGAGAAGTGACGTGAAACACCGCGTGTTGATCGCAGGTGCTGAGAGCAAATGATCAGCTACTGCGGGAGAAGCAGGCCGGCAACGCCTTCCAAGGATACGAAGAAGGAGACCTCTCTTTCACCCCGACCTACAAGTTCGATGATCGGAGCCAGCGATACGACAGCAGTACGAAGGTATTGTCGGCGTCGCTTGCTGCCCTTACTTGACTTAAAAAAGCAGCGCATCGCTCCAAATGTCCTGATTGCTGTAACGATGACTCGTCTTGATGCCACATTTTGCCTCGGGGTCCGCGCAAGCTTGCAGCTTGGTCATGTTATCCGAGAGAAAAAACGCAGCGTTGCGCTTCTTTGGGGACTTATATTCAACCCAAACATTTTTGCCGTTGATGCCTATTGCTTTGAGACACCTGTCTGCTCAGACCATCGGCAGGCTGACGGCCCGCTGTTGGTCTCAAGCGTTCGTTTCCCTACAGGCTCGGATACCATCTTGGACAGACCGAGTATTGTACAGAAGCAGAAACCCAGCCCTAGCCGTTGCGAAGCTGGACAGCTACAGAAGCGTTCCCAGTCTGACGACGTCGGACCATCGACCAGTCTGTGCGCGCTTTACCATTGCAACACGGCTAGGAAGGTCAGATAGCAATGAGTTAGTGAAAGAGAAGAGGTTTGTCGATGCCCAGGAGGTTCTAGAAAGGAAGACCATACGAGATGAGGACATGTCCCTAGCAAATCGCACGGCGGAGTCGTGAATTGGAAGAGCCCTGTTCGATAGACCTTTCGCTTTGAGAACCATGCACGCGTGACTGTGGCGGGGTTTGTGCAATTTGTCATAAGATTCTGTCATGGCGTCTACGATTTTGATTGCGTACGTCAAGGGGCGCTTGACAGTGCAACCGGACTTCAAGTCGGCTTATAGTGCCTTACGCAATCTTGCGGCCCGCTTAGTTGTATTTGGCTCTCCTTAACCACGAGAATGATAGTGTCTGCTGGCGACGTCTGACGTATCCGGCAGGTGTGCCTACTGCGCTGCGCTTCAACAGTTGTAATTATACGCAGGCCTGTTACAACGTCTACATGATACGCCGGTTACTAGAGCCGCCCACTTCCCATGTACTTTACATGGTCAGGTATAATGCAACGTTTGAGGATCTTATAGGCAAGGAATTTAATTGCTTGCTTTAGCGTCTGACGATGCAACATGGCAGTTCGATTCAACTTGGCAAGAAGTACAACCACGTAACGTACACGATGATGCGCATATGGTCGGCGCGCAAGCAGGTACTGCTAGTACAAAGAGACGGTCCATATCAGACAGTCAATATATAGTATTACATCCACTTTCGAGTCGAGTCGAGTCCAGTCGGAGCAGAATAATAGCCTGCTTAAGTAACTCGAGCATTTATGCTGTGATGCACTTGTCTATCGTCCGACTATGTGCTAGCCTACTAGCTGTCATGTCATGGATGCAAGTCGGCTTTATTCTTTGCTTGGTTGCAAGATGGGCTTCAAGTCCATGTCTGTCATGATACACAAGAACAATCAAGCGGTGCCGTGGAGCAAAGTGGGGTGCATATCAATATGGAAGGTCGACAAATCAGCTAGGAGCTGCACCCGGCACTTTGATAAGGAGCAAAGAATGGCTGCGGCAGACAAGGAACGGCCAAAGTCACATTCGCAAGATTTTGCACCAGCATAGCGAGCGCACTACTGACAGAAATCTGTTTGTTGCCTCTTCCCGAGTCCGTTGATTTGAGCAAAAATGGTAACATCGACTTCGCTATGGTAAAACGCCTTTTGAATTGTCAGCCTTCTATAGATAAACCCTGCAAGCCTCTTCTCAGCACGTTTCATGCAGACATGGCGGGACAAGTTGGGTGCTTTCGCTTAAGCTCACCCCTCAAGCAGCACCTTCTGCCCCTCCCCTCCCGGCTTTGCTGCTCAACCCCACATGACCGGGGCCACTGTTGCTTTCCCATCACAACCTTTCACTTCAATACTCTCCCCCATCAACAATCGTCTTGCGCAATTGTCTATGCTGTAATCTCTAACACCCAGCCACCGACCTGTTCTGCCTGCCTTTGCAAACTCCTCTACACCACTAGATTGAGTTGCCCTTCGCTTCTCAACATCATGCTCCCAGCAAGGGCCGACTTCCATTACAACTGACGCGCCCCTAATTCTCCCTGTGCCCCACTAGTCAACATCCTGCGCCCCAGCATCTTCCGCCTGCTTTTCCCAGCAAGTACAAATGACCCCTAATCCTCCGGCTCTTCGTCCTTCTCCTGCGCCTTTTGCGTCCCCATTGGCACCTGGATGTATACGGCGTCCGACAGGAACGGGATGTCTGCGTACAACCCGAACGCAGCGTGGAGAGCCGAGTACATGGAGCAGAACCAGACAAAGAACCCCAGGTAGAACATGGTCTCTGTGAACGTCGCAATGATATAAGTAGGCGGGAGAATCTGCTGCACGAACACCCGGATCGTGAGCACGATCTCGCACAGCACGCTCTGCAGCGTGTGCCACCGCACAAAGTGCGGCATCTTGGTGTTCTGGATGATCGTGAAGAAGAGCAGGAAGAAGACAGCCATCGGGATGATCGGGATTTTTGAGTACCACTCCAGCACGGTCGCAATCGGCGTCACCGCATCCATCGCCTCAGCGCCAAACTTCCCGCTGTAAGCGATAGACAGCGTCCCCTCAAAGATGGACGGCAGGTACGGCAGAATTGCCAGAATCCGCCAGAAGAAGAATGGCTTCTCCATCATCGTAGGGAACGGCTTGTTCCCCTCCCGAATCCACTGCGTCTTCCACCGAGCTATTAGGGATGCGCGCGCACCCACAGCTCGCGGCGCCCTGAGCCTCTTAGCCTGCGTCCGCTTCAGCTCGGCAGCAAAAGGGTTCGGCCCTGCCATGAAACTGCTGGCGTGCGCGCCATTCAGCTGGCTGCCAGAGAAGAGAGAGCTGGACAGGGGCGCTTTATGAAGGGCAGGAAGTCTATGCTGCCGTGTGGTGCTGAGGGGTCTAAGCAGAGGGGTAAAGGACTGCTTGGCAACCGGTTGCTGCCGAGAGGAGACGCTGGGCAATCCTGCCCTGAGCGCAGCACCGCTTGCACAGACGCTTGCCGCCATTACTGGACCACCTCAAAATCGCTCAACAAAAATATTGATGAGCTCTCCTTGTTCTAAAGTTTAAGCGTGCTAGCAACCCCAGAAACCCCGCATGGCTTCTGCCACTGAAAGAAACAAACTCCTGCCGCCTGCGTCTCAGCCAGAAGCTGCCTTCACAGGATGCTGGTCGTGGAACTTTCTCTGTGAGCTGTGGATTGTACCTATAGACTCAGAGATTACCTTTATTACCTATTTCAAATTTGGATGTTGGTATTGGTAGTGTCTATTGCCCGCTGCTGTTTATTCGGTAACCGTACCTGAAGAACGTCGGTACCGGTCCTGGCCGGGGTCTTTCTACACATCGAAAATTAGCCGCCCTTTGGAACAGGTGGCCGGTTTCTTCTGCGTTCTTTGACACACATCAAGCCTTTCCCGCTTGTCCCTTCTCATACTGGAGACTCTGCTCGAATACTGCACCTGATCTTCTGCGCCCCTAGAGCAGTGGGCTTGTCGACAGAAGGAAAAGTGCATTGCTAGCTGTTTCGGGGCGAGCTGCCGCCGAGCACCGGTCCTATGGTCCTAGTATCTTAGCATCTGCATGGAAGACTACACACGGACAAATGCCATTAGAATGGTATTGGAATTGAAAGGCTGTACTATTAAACTTTCATATAAACTTACATCAGTGTGTGCCAGCACCCAGAGTTCGTCCATGTTTTGGCATTTTGCTCATTGACACATGGCTTGTGACCGATCAAGTACAATTTCGCTCAATGATCATTATGCACATTCGCCATGTATCATCAGGAGCTGTTCTCTTAGGTCCGTTCACATGGTTGGTGATCGGGTGTCTTGGAGCGAGAGGCTAGCGCCTCTGCCACCAAGGTCGCGCTGCGGATCACTGACACTGGCACATGTGTAGGTCCTAGGAGAATGTAATGCCCCTGGATGCATGTAAAACGGCCCCACCATAGCCCCATGCCTTTGATAGTGCACGGGCTTGTAGAGAAGTCAACATCAAAAGTTTGTGCTTGCCAGCCTGAACGCCAAGTTTGCATTTTACGACTCAGACGAGTCACATCAAGTCTGATCCGGCCTCATCCAAAATGAACTCACTGTCTTGTGCCAGTGGGCATGGCCATCGCCATGGCCGTTGCTCCCATGATGTTTGAGATTGGACCAGATGCGCGTAGCTGCTTTCTTACAAAGCGCATGGTGTAACATGCGGGAACACATTGTTGATTAACTTACCTACAAAGCTCACAATCTCACTTAATTTTTTGATCCTTGGTGTCGATCCCATGTACCAGATCCTACATGCATACATTCTGGCACAGCGGAAGAACTATCATTGTGCATATGCATGAGAGCTCTCGATTGTGACCTTCCCTGTCATGTACGAGACATAGGTTATATTGCATATCGAGATTTTGTCCACTTCGTCTCAAAAAGATAAATTGTGATAACACCAACCGCCAAGCTCCCTTGAGCGACGGAATGAGCTGACAATCCGGCCTTTCCAGCTTGTTCAACACGACAGCACATATATCCCTTGACTTGAGTACAATTTCATGGGACCGGTTGCCTGTTCGGCTATGACACAAATGACTTGCTCATTCTTTGCCATCCAATTTAGATTCTGCTAATAGAACAAAGACTTAAGTTCCAAACTTGTACCTATATGTTACACCCCCTGTTTTGGGGCCTCCCGGCCCATTAGTCATTCCTTTCATTCGGCCGCGCTTCGTCTCCCCCCCAAGCGCCTCCAACAACACCACCCACAGCAGCTGCTTGACGTGCTCGGAGGTCAACAACGACATCGTCATCCGGAAAGATTGCTTTCAAAAGCGCTGGTGTTTTCAGGAGGCGCCGGCCCTGTGACCACAAGTGATGGGCTTCAAGAACGGCTCCTATTTGCATGTCTGATGACTTTGCTTCCCCAATATAAGGAAACGATTGGGACAGCAGGCAGGGCACTCAGAAAATAACCAAGCAATCAGAGTTCGAGCGGAAGTACTCAAGCCAGGATTGAGGGGCGATTCAGATCTGAAACAATGAACCAGCTTGTCCACTCCACAAGCGAAAAAACTCCAGCCGACTTGTTGGCCTGCCAATATTGTAAAGTTCAGTATGACACTAGTACCCAATCGCCGTTGCCATGATTCTTCAAAGCGCAGGCGGAATTGCATTGCAAACATGACAAGCGGAACTTACTGTGAGACGGGGGTACACGTCCTCAAGGTAGAAGTAGGCATGACCGGCTGCCATACCCTGCCATACGCAACAATACCCGATTTCAACTTGACGAACTTCTTGTGAAGCCAAAAACAAAAGATTTCAATGAAGAAGCAGCGCAGGTGCATCTGATCCGAAGCTCTTTATACTCCCTCAAGCAACAACGTTAGAAGCAGTGTTTCGGCTCTTCAGACCTGCCAATAGGGATATCTTGCAATCCAATCACCTATACTTTTAAGACAAGGCTTTCTCACAAGATCAGAAGCGTTGTCCTGTTCTTTTGATGTGAACCTTACCAGAAGATCTACGACGGGACTGCTTCCGAGCATGAGGGAAAACCCGAGAAGAACCCAAGGAAGGTACGGGGCTGTGAAGTTGAACAGGCCCAAGAAGCTCATCTGCACGTACGGGTTGCGGCGGCCCCAGACGTAAACCTGCATCATCGAAGAGGATAGCTACTCAGAAAGAGTTTTTTGTCGGTTCGAGGGATCCCCTCACGTTTGGAAATCCACAGAGTCGAATACAACAGCTACAGAAAGGAACTTTGTGTCACCTTGAAAAATCCCCTCTCGGATACATCACCAAATCTGGCTTGTGTAATGCTGCCCGATTGGAATCCTGAAAGCCTGTATTTGAAGCAGTGCATCATACAAATAGAAGGATTCAAAGATAGCAATAAAAAGTATCAGCGCTAGCGGCCAAGCAGAGTATCATCAGTTGCGTGTCCAGAAGATCATCTTGAGACAAGATGAGCAGAAGACCGCGATAACAAGGACGTACAGCTTACCATCATGAAAGTGAGTGAGTGCCCCAAGAATTGGATATTTACAAATGGGGCTGCGGTTGTGAGCAGGACACCACCAAAGATGAGCATGTAGAAGAAGTCTGCTGTTCGGCCTCGGAAGGAGGTCTCCTCTAGGAGTTTGCAGTACCGCGAAAGGAAGAACATGTGAAAGAGGAAATCAAGACCTGCCACAAGAACGAGAAGGCTTGTAAGCTCGGGCATCTGCAATCAGGACCTTCAGCTTGTGTGCGACAAAACTCAAGATCGGCATGGTGCCAAGCAATATATGCATCTAGCTGAAGCGATTGCATCCGGTGATATACTCGCTGCCCTTACAGGCCATATCTCCGCTGCAACTTGCCCTGGGCCCTCACCTAAGTGTCCGAAGTAGAAGAAGTTTGTGAACAGCCTCCATAGTTGAAAGCGTTGAAATATCAGCTTTGCATTGAAGTAGACAGAGTACGGAGAGATGACCTGTAGGAACAACCAAGACACACAGAGTCAAGTATGGGAAACACATCGCTATATTCCAAGAAAAGTGAGCCTCCAATGAACAGCACTCCAGACGAAAACATATTGGATGCAGGACTCAAGAGTCCAGTTGATTCCATGCCAGCACCAAAGAGCTCTGACTTTAAAGATCCCTACCCACTCACAAGAGATAGTATTCAATACATCTGCAGAAAAACGTTAAAAGCTTGAGGTACTTCACATTCACTTGCAAGCAAGTCACGAAAAGCTAACTACATTAGATCCAGGGACAAGGAAAGCTGTGGCATGTGAGTACCTGCAAGTACCCAAATCTTGCAGAGTGATAGGAGAGATAGCTGACTGCATGTACGCTTGGTGCAATTTGGCCTCTAGCAAGGGCCAAAGCAACACCAGCAACAAGCAAGGGCCGCACAGAAAGCAAAAACCTTACAGACAAAGACGCATCATTCCAAAAGAGGGTGCTTACATCAAGTGCAATGCCAGCGGTAGTCAGGAAGGAGAGTGTCAGATAAGACCGTGTGATGATGGGCATTTGCTTATACCAATCCTCGATGGTTTGGGCCATCTCGGACGGTTAGCCCTTCAAGCGGTTGACAAGGTTGCTTGCTAAAGTAAGGGGCCAGTTGTACGTGTGCAGCTCCTCTACCTATGCTCTGACACAAGGCTAGAGAACTGCCCAGCCTTCGGCCCCAGCCAAAACCTTTCCACCGGCTTACGAGGAATACTTGCGCCCCAGGGGCCGGAACATGTACTTGAAGAAATCTTTGAACTTGTTTCCAAACCCTAAAGTCCCCCCCTCAACTTCGCTCCCTCGTTCCAGTAAAACAACCCCAGGAAAGATGTCCTTCACAAGAAGAAACTCAGGACGCTGCTTTGAAAATTTCTGACGATTGGATTCAAAGACGAGGAGGCGGCAAGTGCCAGGCTAGGGTGCAGGCGCCCTCCTCAAATTTGTGTTCCTTCTTCAGATTTTCGTCTCGACTTTGCTTGCTGCATGCCATCTCGTAAACCTGAGTCTATTTACGGCCAGAGAAAGAAGGGAGCCACTCCTTATCTGATTGGCTCGAAAGTCCATCAGGCATTTTGAACCGTCGAGTGAGCGCATCGTGCGGCGCCGAAAGTGTGTATGATGTGGCGTGCGAGAGGAAGCAGCGGTGCCTAAATATTCAACAGGGGTCGTCACTGGTCAGGGAGAGTCGTGCATTCTTCGTGAACTGGGAAGAGCTTGGACTCGGAGCACGAGTCAGAGAGCCAGAGACCTGACTGGAGAGAGAGGAAGCCTCCGAAGAAAGACGAGTTCTGGCATTGAGCGTGTTCACCATCTTTGATTCTTAGAAAATCAAAGCAACCTAGCTAGCTCGATCTATTACATGCTTCTTTAGGCTGGCCGCAAAGTTATATTTCATGAGAACAATCTGAAAGCGCGGCCGGTACGTTGGGGAGGGCGGTGGTTGAGAGCTTGCTGATCCAGATTTTTAATTTGAAACTCTCAACTCTAGAACTTTGCCTCTGGCAGTCTCACGTTAAGCTGCAACCATGGTGTTAGCAGAGCTAGGAGGGCGGATCACGGCCGCCCTCCAGAGCATGACCAATGCCACCGTCATCGACGAAGCGGTGCTCAAGGAATGCTTGAACGAAATCGCAAGCGCGCTGCTTCAGGTACACTTCCTCCCCAATGCTGCCTCTCTTGCTCTCGACAAAGTGCTAAGCTCAGAATTATCAGTGGTAATTGGCAGCTTTGCGGCCCAGGATATGGAAGGCTCTTCAAGCTGGAAAGAAGGTGTCATTAACTCGCCATCTTCAATTGATCTGGCCCATCACATGTTTGATGCAAAAGGTGTCTCGATACGAGATACGAAAGTGGTTGAGAAAACCCAGTAGGGTTCGAATACTGAAATTTCCAGCTGCTTCCAGCCGACTAATTGCAGACTGCAGAGTTCGCCTTTAAAGATGTCCTTGCCCAGGCAGGGAGTGATCTCATCGAGTGCCCGCATCATTTTCAACCTCCCGCTCTTGTCGCAGGCTGACGTAAACGTCAAGTTTGTCAAGGAGATGCGAGACAACATCAAGAAGGTCGTCAACTTTGATGACCTAGCGGCGGGCCACAACAAGCGGAGAATCATTCAGCAGGTCAGGCCAGTGATACTCTTAAGTTATGTTGCTCAAAAACTTCTCTGCTTGCTGATAGTCTATGAAATGTTGGTCCTTGTTATGATCCTTAGTTGGTGAGGGTTGATGGTGTGTAAGATCACAGCCATAAACGGGGTGCTGGAGATGGACGGGCCGTCGGTAGAAGCATCAGGTATTCCCAGCAGAGCCCGCCCATCCAAGAAGTGCACTAAGGGTGGACTTCAGATTCTGGACCTGGCGGCTCTAGTAAGAAGGAAGTTGTACATGGTAATACCCCTCTTTTCAGCTATGGTCTTGTGCTTTCTGTGATAGGTCTTTAGTATGTGGTGAGTGGATATGTTTCAGCCCTTTCCACTTCGTTGCATCCGGTGCACAGTCAAGCAGCTTCGGAGCCTCCTCTCTCCTTGCCCTGCAATTGTTCTGCAGTCCACGTCCGGGATTTGTCAAAGGGCATGCTCCGTTTTCCCTTCATTTCGACTCTCTTCTTCTTTCTTCTTCCCCGAAGTCTCAAGCTCTCTCCCTCCTTCCTGCTTGGCATTCGGGCTTCGATATCTCAAGGTCACTTCTCAGCTACTTGACGAAGTCTCTTCTTTCCCCCTCCATCCTCAACTGAACCAGCTTGTTCCATCTGGTTTCTCCAGCTCAAACTTTCTTGTTTTTGACGTCCTTTCCCAAGCAGAGTTACTTTCGTCCCTTCACCTACGAGGCAAAAGGGCTCTATTCCAACTCAAAGCGGCTGCAATCAAGGCAGGTCTAGCTCCATTGGGGCTCCCGCATGGGAGCCATCCTAGAACAAGGCCCCGTTTCCAACCGGGGCAACGGGGTTTTGCCCTTGCTAGTTTTCTGGGGGAGCCCGGTTTGATCACCGCTCCTCGCATTTCCCCTCCTCAAACTTTCTACTCTTTCGACACAGTCTGTGCTCAGCGAGCTGGTGCGCATGCTGGACCCCGGGAAGCCCGCCTACCAGCTCAAGAAGGGCAAGCCGAACGTGGTCATGTTCGTCGGCCTGCAAGGGTCCGGCAAGACGACCACGTGCACAAAGTACTCGTACTACTACCAGCGGAAGGGCTTCAAGCCCGCGATGGTGTGCGCAGACACGTTCCGGGCGGGTGCGTTCGACCAGCTGAAGCAGAATGCCACCAAGGCCAAGATCCCTTTCTACGGAAGGTGCGATGCTTCTTTGGATTTGGCATCTGCGTCTGGAGTCCGGCGTCTCCGGGCGGTTCTGCTTTCTCCATGTCTTGCTTGCAGCGACATGCTCTCTAAAGTGCTCTTAGGCGGAGCACCTTCCTGAAAGGAGTGGTCTCAGCACGGATAACCGTCCTGAATAGATACTTCTAAGATCAGATGCACCTCTCTAGATTTCTGGGCGGCAACAGAAGGAGATTCGACCAGAAGACGCTTTCGGAAAATGCATCAGATTGAAGAGCGGGTGACTTTGATGCTACGCAGTGCAGTAAGTTTATGAGAAGAAAGCTTTAGAAGAGACTGACGGCCTGGTCGTTAAGACGAGACCATGACAGCAAGTTTCTCGTATTGAAGTTTGATCCACCGGAACCTGGGTGACCAAGAGGTTATCTTTCAATCTTCCGGATGGAGCATGGTTGAGGGTGTAGTGCTTGCATGCTTGATTGTGCAGCAGGAGCATATCCAGGTGGCCACACGTAGAGAAACACGCTTCTATTGGTGCATATATCCAAGATAGAGCTCCAGCAGAACAATACGCCGTACCTCGCTTGGAAGCTTATGCCCCGCCCCTCTTTGTATACGTGCGTAGACCCCCTCTTCGCTTAAAAGCTTTAGTCCTGCCCCTCTTTGTAGTCACAGGAGACGCCCTCTTTGCAGTTACCCGGAGTCGTTCTGCCTCCTCAGAAGCTTACGGCATGCCCCTCTCTGCAGTTACACGGAGACGGACCCCGTCAAGATCGCGCAGGAGGGCGTGGAGCGTTTCAAGGCCGAGGGGTGCGACTTGATCATCGTAGACACGAGCGGGCGGCACAAGCAGGAGGCGGCGCTGTTCGAGGAAATGAAGGCGGTGGAAGACGTCGTGAATCCGGACTTGGTGATCTTTGTGATGGACAGCAGTATCGGACAGGCGGCGTTTGCGCAAGCGAAAGCGTTCAAGGACACGTCGAACGTGGGGGCGGTGGTCGTGACCAAGATGGACGGGCATGCAAAGGGAGGCGGGGCACTGAGCGCGTAAGTGCCTTGGGGCGACCGGCAAGAGCGTTCCGGACTGCTTTTTGGGGTTTTGTCTGATCTGGAGCGCCTATCGTTTGCATCTGGCCTTCGGCGTGAAGTTTGTAAAGTTAGGTTTTGGCGACCTAACCTGCTGACGTGTTGCCGCGAGACCGAAAAGCAATGTCCGCGTCATGCTTCTCAACTCGAAACATGCTGAGCGTGAAGATGCGCTTTTCAGCGCAATTCACTGGGTTGCTCGTTGCATTCTATCCTCGTGCCTGCCTGTCAGTCCCCTTCCTCTACCCGTTTTTCTAAGGGGCCTTTCCCATTGTTGCACGTTCTCCAATGACTCCAATCCCAGTCTCACGTCGTTAACAAAAGCCTCCACGCAACCGTTTACATATTCATTAGTTACCCTCTGACGTCAGCCCCTTCGTCACTTCTCCCCCAGAGTGGCGGCCACCAAGAGCCCGGTGATCTTCATGGGCACGGGCGAGCACATGGACGAACTAGAGGTGTTCGAGGCCAAGTCGTTCGTGAGCCGGCTGCTAGGAATGGGCGACATGAGCAGCTTCGTGAACAAAATCACGGAGGCGATTCCCCTAGACCAACAGCCGGAGTTGCTCGAGAAGCTGAGCCAGGGCCAGTTCACGCTGCGCATCATGTACGAGCAGTTCCAGAACATCCAGAAGATGGGGCCGCTGAATCAGGTGAGCGCGGTTTTTCTATCGGGACAGGTTGAGCAAAAGATAGGGCAGTTTAGATCACGCTGCGTATCAGTTATGAGCAAGAATAAATACCCAGAAGACGGGCCCGCTGAATTCGGTGAGTGCGGGCTTTGAGTTGGTGTTTCTAAGGAACGGGTGATTTTCAGGCTGGATAGCTGAATAGTTGGCGATCGTAAAGCAGAAGGTGAGGCTGTTTACTTTACTCTGCGCATCAGGTGTGAGCAGTTTCAGAACATCCAAAAGATGGGGCCGCTGAATCAGGTGACAAGGCAGTTCTGGGATCGGTGTTTTGATTGGAATGGTTTGCTATATGGCGGGTTGGCTGGCCGTCGTGAAGAAGAAGAGGCCGTAGATTTGCACTGTGCATCATGTCGAACAGTCCAGAAAGTGGGGCGCTATAAGTGGACGGAGTAGTTGGGATCGGTGGCTCTCTTGGGACTGGCTGATTTGTGCGCAGATTTGTTGGCGGCATAGAGTGGAATGACGTTTTTAGCCTGGTGAGGGGACGGTGGGTTGCATAAAATTTAAACGGGGTACGTGATGGGGCTCAACTAGGTAAATTGTAAGAGGCTTGAGCCGTGCTTTATGACCGGGTTGGAACAGTGTCGACTGTTTCATTTTGGTAAATTGTAAGAAAGGATGCCAGAAGATGGGACCCTTAGAGCACTTGATGGAAGGCCGGGTGTTTGACATGCAAAGGGATATGCGTTTGGACTGTCAATGAATCATAGAAACGAACGACGGACGGGGAATGCGAGGCGCCCCTAGAATCACGCGAACAGGTACATTTAAAACGGGTGCCGTCTGAGGATAGATGTGAAAATCGCATAGAACGCTCAAAAAAGATGACCGGAAACTATTTCTGTCCGTAACACGAGTCGAACTCAAACGAGGAGTGTGCAGTTCGAGAAGAACATCTGACGGGATTATCTTACACCTGCCTTTCCTCCGCAGGTGATGTCGATGATCCCCGGCTTCAACGAGCAGCTGATGCCCAAGGGGATGGAGAAGGAGAGCCAGGCGCGGATAAAGCGGTTCATGACCATGATGGATAGCATGACGGACGAAGGTGAGCGCTCCTTCCGGAGCGTCTTAAGCGGCCCCGTCTTTACGAGCATCTGTGGAAGATGTGTATCTTGTGCCTTGACTCTGCTGCATTTTCCGAACATTTTATCGTCATCGTCGTCGGCAATCCTTCTGACGTAGTAGAGGCGCTCGACACGTAGCGCTGCAGCTCGGCCGAGGCGCCTGTTCTAATACTCAAACCCGATCATAGCTCACATTTCATATTTGAAGGCTTTGTCTTACAAGCTCTGAGCGTTGCAATCAAGCCGTTGACTGCTGGAGAGTTGAGACACTTGGTCAATGTTTTATTCTTCCCCTGGTGCAGAACTGGATTCGAGCAATCTGAAGTTGATAGCGGACCCGTCGAGGCTGACACGAGTTGCACGGGGATCGGGACGGCCGCTACGAGACGTCCAAGAAATGATCGAGGAGTACAAGAAAATGTCGAAGGCCTGGAATGGTATGAAGAATCTTAAGATCAACAAAAAGGGTATGCTCAACCCCGCTAACCAGAATCAAAACATGGCGCAGCTAAGTAAAGCGCTGCCACCGCAGGTTTTGAGGCAGATGGGCGGGATAGGAGGGTTGCAAAACATGATGAAGGAGATGAACGGAAAGGACATGCAGGGCATGCTCAAGAGCATGGGGATGGGATGATCCTTAGTGGCGCCATGCGCCTAGGTTTGTTTTCAATCCGATCTGTAACATAGTTGTCGCACGCAACCCACCGTCCATTGCCTGGCTAGGCATTTGCGAAGCTGTGGTTCACGATCACTCGATGTGTGTGTCAAATGCATTCATAGACGCTTGATCCAAAGTTTAGGTCCGCTTGGCAGCGGCCTGGCATTCGGTTCTCATGTGAGTAACTTGAGGATCAGGATATCATGGCCGCAGCTACCGGCCATGGACACCACTTCTTTTATCTAGCCCCTGGCATCGGGCCCATGTTATACTAGCATGTGGCATGACACCGCCAATCGCGATCGCCTGATGGTTCAGTGAGTATGCAGCACTGTTGCATACGATCCACAATGAGCGTTATATATTACTACTTGCATCATGGTGCTAGCTGCTGCGCCCACTGCCATGACGACTGCATGATGCATGCAGCCATCCGTTTCTATAGCAAGTCAGGCAACCGGAATAGCATCAGATTGTGTATTTAAGGTCATCTGAATTATTCAATTGCTATACGGTCCTTTCAGCGAGTACGTCCAATCATCAAATACACTCTGCTCTTTGCGCTGTCCAAAGATAGTTTATAGTAACAAGCACCTTACTGTCAGATGGATTCGGTACGTCGGTGGGACCACATATGGAGCCTTTGGCATTTCTATGTGCATGCCATGATCCTCATGAGCTGCACAAACGGGGCTGAAACAACAGAACTTGCGACCATGGCTTCAAAGTGCAGCCGTCAGATCAGCAGAGAGGCTGGATGCATCAGCATGATTGCACATGACTGATCACTTCCAGCGACATCTTAACGCACCAACGGGTCTTTTCCTGACAAGCAGATCAATCAACTGCTCACAGATAGCAACAGCTGGCTTCGCAGCTTTCAATCAGGCACTTCCCTTGCGGCATACTGAAATACAATGCGCCCCTCCGATACGGAAACCGCATTCGGGACCTGAACAGGGTCGTCTTGGCTTATTTCCCCTGCATTTGTCTCCCTCCTCCTATCAAGAGGTTCCACGTCCTTTTCTACAGGCCTTCCACGAGTGCCGACGAAAACAAGCGTCCCAGCCTGTTGGAAAGGATATTGTGTGTGAGCAAGGTGAACAGCTTTGATTCAAGACCGATTTTGAAGTCGCGGAATCGACGGGTAGAAACGTAGTTTGTCAGGTCGGTGCTTGCGTCCAGCTGTTTGAGCGAGACCAGATATGCAGCAAGAGGCTGTTGGGGTAAGATTCTACGAATCCTGTCAAAAGAGGTGGCTCCCCTTGCGCAAAAAAGAAGAAGCTTCGATCGAGGTCAGCAGTCAGGAGAGCAGCATGTGGATGCCTACATGACTCGACCAAGGAAAGAACCATTATCAGCTTCTCCGAAACTTGCTACTTGTCGAAACAAAGTGAAGGCAGATCACTTTGACGATGTCGGGCAGACCACTTCATCCGCATCCTTATGTGAACGCTGTACTACGATGTTGCACCGGCACCATAACCATTTGAAATATCTGTAATCCGTTGGGCACAGCCAGCCGGCCGGCAAAAGACCTGGCTGTCAAAAAGCACCCTGTTTTGACTTCAACACGTACACCACCTCGAAACAACAATCACCGCCCCACCGATGTCACCAGCTGCTAGAGTGAGATGAGCGCAAAACCCTTTCGTTCCAAGCGAATAGGACAACAGAGCTTTTCTTCTCAAAAATTACAGAAACCGCAAGCAGTCCCTAACCAAGTCTGTGCTTTTACATACCGACCCAGGTCTCTATCAACCCGGCTTTTATCCACTGCAGAACCCTTCCTAACCCCAAAATGAAAAGAAGCCCTCACCAACCCGCAAAGCCTGTACCCTCACCTGGGTGCCCGCTGCAAGTTCGTCGCTTAAAGGGTGCACCGCCACCGACGCAGGCGGGTCGTCTATTAATACTCTAGGCGGCTCCACGCTTCTGGAGTGCCGTTGCCGCTTTTCTGCCGCAGCCCGACTCTGCTGGGCCGCGGCCCGAGAAGCTTCCGCCGGAGCCGTCGCCCCCGGTTCTTTTTGCCGGTCGTGACTGCCGGGCAAAGAAACCAGCTTCAGGACCAAGTAAGGCACAACGAGATGGAGCAAGCTTTTTCGAAGCTTCGAAGCGAGTCGTCTGCTTGTTCTTCCAGTTAGAGGACGCAAGCAGACAATGTCCCATTTGGGGATATCGTTTCACCACGAAAAAGTCATCAAGTGCGAAGCTAGCAAAGCGCGATGAAGGAGCCACTATCCACTACAAGCTGCTAGTTCAAGGCCGTTTTCATGATTTTTCTTCAGGCACTCCTCCCATACAGCTGCTTTGCAGACTTATCACCCGCTTTTAGCCTATCAGAACTGCACAGCACGACTTGCGCAATCTACCTAGTAGCGGAGCTCTGTCTCTGGCAGAAAGTATGAAGGAGGCTCTTTCAGAAAGAGAGTCGGTAGTCGGCTGTTGTTCGCTCACCCGGCTTCGCCAGAAGGCGTCGGCTCGTCTTCTCCCACCCAGCAGCGCGACCGTGGGTGGGCCGTAAAGTCTAAGAAAGTCAGTAGGGGTTCGTTGGATGCGGGGACGCAGAACACCTGCGCGAAAATAGTGAGAGCCTGGTAAAGAAAGTTTGCAAAGACTGGATGCAGGACGATTTTACAGGATTCCAAGAACAATGAGAAAGTGATATTGAAAAGGTGATAATCGAAAAAGTTGGGCCCTCAGAGCAGGGAAAGCAAGAGACAGGGTGCGAACCCTTTCGTCTACCGCAAAATATGGATTTTGAGTCGCTTTAAGTCACAATATTTCTCCCTTCGATACAATCTAGAGTAATGCCTCCGCTGCGCACAGCCAATACTGACTGTTCAATATACCAGCAAAAATGGCTGTGTTTTGAAGCATTCGAAAATTGGACTTAGTTCCCTCTGAGTTTTAGTCTGTCTCCAGAGATACATCTCGAGCAGTGACCCAATTGAGGGAAAACGAGGGAACCTTCCTTTGCAGGAAAGGATCCTGAACAATGCGTGTTCCAACCTTTCGCGGCCTCGTGTGAGTCCTTCGCCAACCCCAGACTGTTAACCTCAAAAGAAGCACGCTGAAAGCAGCGGCGACCTACCGAGCCTGTGGGCAGCCACACGGGTCGCCTCCTCCGGCCCAGTGTCCAGGCGAGCCCCGTCTGCAAGCCGTCTTGCCAGGGCGGCGGCGGGCAGTACGCGTGCGTTATCTTTTGCGAGAGCGTGTCGACGGCGCCGGACCAGCCGTTGTTGAGGTGGAACGCGAGCTGGCGCGGGTTGGAGGGGTTGAACGCGAGAGCGTGGATGGCGCTGGTTTCGACGTCCGTCTGGCTCTGTTTAAGGATGGTTAGGAATTCAGCTTTCAGAGTTTCTGAAATCCAGAGACATTACAGCATACGTTACGATACATTACAGCTGGCGGGCGTTGGAGTGATACAAAGCGAGAGCGTGGATGGCGCTGCTTTCGACGTCCGTCTTGCTCTGTGAAGAGTGACTTGGATGTTGGGGTGTTGAAAATCTGAAGGTCTTCGGTATCTCAACAGACAGTAACCGGCGGGGTCTAGAGGGGTTGAAAGCGAGAGCGTGGATGGCGCTGGTTTCGACCTCCGTCTGGCCCTGCTTAAGGAGGGTTGTAAATCCAGTTTGTGGGGTTTAAGGTCCGAAATCGACAGTACAGCTGCCAAGATTAGAGGGGTGTGAAGCGAGAGCGTGGATGGCGCTGGTTTCGACGTCCGTCTGGGTCTGTTTAAGAAGGGCTGTGAATTCAGCTTCTGGGGTTTAGAGGTCTGGAAATAATCAGACAGGTCAGCTGCTGGCATTAGAGGGGTTGAAAGCGAGAGCATAAAAATGGAAAACTTGAGGCTCCATTCTGAAGAATCTCTCACGATCTAGGAAACTAATAGCCGGCGAGCATGAGTAAGGAGTGTCGGCCTTAATGAAAGGCGCTCCGTTCCAACGTCCGTCTGGCTCTGTGAAAGGAGACAATCACGGGACCCAACTCGATCGAATCTTTAAGCCCTTGAAAGCGTTTAATGAATCACCAACTGGCAAATGTTTCAACGTCCGTCTGGCTCTGTGAAAGAAAACGACCAGGGTTCATGTTTTGAATGTTGAAGTATGGCTCTGCGCAAGGAGATGATTGAAACCTGAGGCTTCGAACAGTGTAGGTTTCTTGAGTTTTTGACAGAATGCTTGTTGGCGAGCGAGTGGATGGCGCTGGTTTCGGCGGCCGTCCGGCTCCGTGAAAGGAGACGATTGAGAGACTCGACCTTTATGACCTGTAACTCCTCAGAAAAATTCGACAGAATACTCGTTGGCGCGGGTCAGAGGGGTGGACGGCGAAAGCCTGAAAAGCGCTTGTTTCGACGTTCGCTTGACTCTGAGATGAAAGGCGTTCAGTGAATTCAAGCACTGGAAGCTGGAAGTCTTGCGGAAGAGCGGAAATACTGGAGGCATTTCAGAAGTTCTCCACGTGTCTGAACGAGTGTTTCAACGAGCAGGTGAGGAAACTCTGACGGCATCTGAAAGTCCTGAAACCCACATAGTGAAAACGGCCGCTCTAAGATGACGGTAAGTGTCTTGCATCGTCACTCTTTGCGAGCACCGCTGGGGCTTCGGCAACGATTCAAGCAGGAAGCTAGAAGCACCGAGAAAATTTACGGCCGAATTGCGACTTCTCTTTTCTGATACTCCTGTAGCCCGTCCACTTTTCTCTGGGGCCGACACAAAAGGTTCGGGCGCTTTCTCACACTCAAGGAGGCAAGGCTTTGCAGCAGATCCGCGAGAACGAGCCGGCAGATGGGGCGGTGGTAATCTTCGCTCGCGCGCATGAACGCGCCCTGTGTGCCCCCTCGCAGGTCCCACCCGTGAATGCAGCCCCCCTCCGAGCCCGCATACAGAACCTGCGAGAATAGCGAAAAAGGTTGCCATAAGTTCTTGTCTTCTTTTCGACATCGAGTAACTAAGCGAGAGAACTTGTTGCTGTGCCCCGACGAAAAACGTAGATAAACTGGGGGGGAGACTTAACAGATAGATAAACTTGCATGATCCTCGAGCTGTTGCACACTTGTGAAACGGTTTCATGCGTGGTTCACAAGACTTGGAAGCAGAGGGACATGCATGGCAGGGACTGGCATCCGCATCGACATCTAGAGCACCTACCCGGGCGGTCAACTGTAATAGACGAGGGGCAAAGGAGGCGTCGTGAGAGACACGAAAGAGCATTTGGCGGTACGACTAACCAATCTAGAGAATGGTGCGGGGAGCCCGTGAAAAAGAGCATATAGCCACACATAAGCCGCAGCGCTTGTTGGTGATTTGTTCCGGGTAGTGCTTCCGACGTGAGGGATCATTTCAGGCTGCAATAGATCCGCGTTCGTCGACGACTGCGAGTGTCCGTACCTGCTCGTCTTGCGAGAATTGCAGTGACGTCAGTGCCCCCTGCAGCCCTGGCACACCGATCGACGTCGTCGGCTTGCGCCCCGAGCGCGAGTCCCACAGGTACATTCGGCCGTCCTGGCCAGCCGCAGCAATCCTGTAATCGGTAACTGTCCGATTCTGAGTTTGAACGAATAAAAGACCAGGTTTCAACAGTCAAGTATGAAGGATTGCATAATTGAGAACGGTTTAGACCTGGAACAACCTCGCAAATCGCTCTTATGCGCCTTTTCTTTGTGCTTTATTGGAACCCTAGACAGTTGCATGTATAACCTTTCGTGAGGACCTCGTCACAACGACAACAACATTGAACTCAAGGTGCCGGTGAATTGGAACAATGAACATAAAATTGTTGTCTTCGGTGCTTCTTCCAATCCAACTGCTGAAAAAACTTCAGGTCAAGTTGAAGGACAGAGACATAGAAGCAGAGGGCAACTCGTACCTGTATTTCTGGCCTCGGCTGAACGCCAGGTCGCAGAGCCCGAGCCTGTTGAAGCTTGTGAAGCCGACGTTGCTGGGGGGCTTAGCCGTCAGCAACTCCTTAGGCTCGTTGGATACTACTGAGAGATCGAAGATGAACAGATTGGCAGTGCCAGAGGCGCACACCGCAACCTGGACGATAGAGACAGTCAGTAAGTTCGGATACAGTCACCACCTTTCAGCTTCTCACGTTTTCACTACCTCTGAATTGATTTAACGGCTTGCCAAGATAGGTCTAGATTTGGACCAGAAGTCAATGCCTCCTCCAAGACAGACTGCGATTTTCCAAAAGAAAGAAGCAAGATTGCACATACAGAATCATACATGGTCAAGAGTAGATGTTTGTCATCCACAGGGTGTTCTACAAAAGCCGTTCTGGCATACCTTGTAAGGGAGGCAAGCTGACTGAACACTAGCCATTGGGAAGCCATTGCAACTTAGTTCTGCAATATCAGTGTCTGATCTTGTTCAGCGACCATAAACAGGTAACCCAAGCCCTGTACAAACCTGGTTTTCATCTGCGGGGTTCCAGCTGATCTTCTCCAGCCTCAATCGAGTTGAGAGGCTGACGAGCGGCGTAGGAGTTCCGCCATCTGCAATCCAGGAGATCAGTTCAGTATTCTGGACCTTGCTCAGATTCGTTTCTTGGATCAGGCTAAACGGGAAATCAACTGCAACCAGTGTGTGGCGGACCGTCTGAACTACTGATGTTGGCTGCTAGAAAACCTGGCCTTTCCATCTCAAGTTGTCATCGGACAGAGTAGCCTTTGCAGTGGCAAACATTTCCAGTCCGCTCGTCGTAAACTTATCCGCTGGGCCCCAGTCATGAGAAATTGCTGAGGGCGTCGACCACGAATGATTCGTGATGTTAAAATGACAGATCATTGGCGAAGCGAGCTTACTTTGCAATGCGGTCCGTGCCTGATCATACTCATGGACTGTGATGCAACCAACGCTGCTGGTTGAAGCTAGGAGCTCTCCTCTTGAATCAAACTCAAGCGAGGACACGTATGGCCTGCAGAGACCACGTAGAGGACAATCACTGAACCAAGTTGCAAGCTGTGCTTTACATGTGTTGAACCCAGCATTGGCAGTGACAGTTCTGGAGAGTGAGGGAAAATGCATCGAACGACTGGACTTCTTCAGATCCCTGGGGGATGATATGCCAATCCTTCACAGGAGAGTCCTTGACAACAAGCTTACATCAGACAATTGGATCAGAGGACTAAAAGATGCAAGTCATCTGCAATTGAATTGATTATCGAGGCCAACATAAACGCGATAAAATTTGAGGGTGGTATGCCCACCTTTGCGCAACCACGTGCGTCCCCTCCTCTACTGAGTCCCAGGTCTCCCCCCAGGTTGAAAGCTGAGCGCCATTTTGGTTTCTATTGAACCATCCAGGGGCGTTCGGCGGAGGGGGGAACGAGGTGCTCAACTCACTCTGGGGAAAGCTTCCAAGCTGTGGGCACACAGACAGATTTGATCAGCTGCAGCAGTCAGCTCATTGACTGATGTACTGCATTCCGAGATAGTCAGCTCAGTCAACACAACTTCTCCCACAGGGCGGCTGGTTACATAGTCCAAGCAATTTGAACATTATTGAGTGGCTTTTGCCAGAACGTAATTATCCAACATTGCGGCTACGAAAAGCCATGCACTGATAAGGTGTGACTTCCAAAGCCACACATTGAGAATGTGTGACTGGTTGTCTTACCTGTGCATAGAGCTGCAGCATCCTAACCCATGCTTGTTGGGGGCCCCCTTGCCCTGTGATCGCTCGCTTCTCATGCCAACCCAATTTCGGTGGTTCTGTGCTTGGACTCATGCCCTGTCCGACTGGCTGCAGGGGCAGCATTTTCTTTATCAAAAAACGCTCCATGGCGTCAAAAGCTGCGGACAGCCCTCTACAAAATCATCTTATCCTCCGAAGGTGCCAATCTGAGAAAGTAAGCCTCAGCTAGCTGAGAAGGATGGAGCTATCACAACGCCCAATCTCTGTTGCGTGTGTGGGGCGGATGCCAATGGGGCACCCTGATGCAGGAATGGGGCAGCTACCTGCTGAGGCTACATGCTGAGGCTGGAGCCTGCAGATTTCAAACTTTGTTGGCGCGGAGGAATCGTGTTCATCCGGGTCTAGTTCTATTTGTGCGAACCATTAACAGAAGCGTTAACGGCGTTAACTAGGTCGAGCGACTCGGAGCGAGTGCTTTCACATCGTTCAGGAGACTAGACTCTGGAAATTGGACGTGCAGGAGGCTGCATTGCTCAATTTTGTGCAAGAAGCTGAGCACGGAGCCGCCAGAACGCATGCACGTTTGGAAGAAGGCAGGAAGGTCCTTAGAAGTTAGATTGATCGAACTTACAAAAGTTGAAAGATCCTCAAACCCAAGCGTCATAGTTTGATTGCACTCAAGCAGTGTTCCAAATCAATGCTGAGTCCTATCGTCTGCAGTATTGAAAAGTAGCGCAGGTCCAGCATTTGTTCCATACAAAGCGGCAGAGCGTGTCCTAACGAGGTTCCAATCAGAAGTTCAAGCTTTTTCCTGGATGGGCCTAGAATAGCTTGCAGTCTAGTTTGTTGAGCATGTCACTCTTCCGGGTCCGCCTGGCTTCTTTCGCCGCAGGTTTCGCGGTGGCCGGGGGCCTGGCCATCTACCAGCTTCAAAAGGATCTATGGGCAAGTCACAAAGTGTTGTCCGAACAGGTATGTACTTTTGCGACCCTCCCTGTATTTTGAAGCCAATTCTGTAGAGATCTTTTTCCCCACGCATATTTGATTCTTACATCTTCAGCTGCCCTTACTCTGAAATGGTCGGAGTGGTTGGAATGGTCAATTGTCCATGTCATAGACACAGCGTGTGTAGGAGGTTTATCACAAAAAGCTGGAGTCGACGAATGCATTGGTGGTGTTTGATTATCTTACACTTGCGCAACTTGAGCCGTACACAGTGGTGGGAAAAGGCGAGCTACTTTTTGTTCGCTGCCTGTGGGGCCCCTCGTCCAGCTCTGATCTGGCTACTGGAGAATTAGCATGCTTTCAGCAATCATCATCACCGCCGTCAAGTTCTTCAAGGTTTCTCACCTGCTACTAATGTAACAATGAAACTTATTTGCTCGGGCTGCCCATGGTGAGGTCGAGAGGAGCTCGACGTCCTCCTGAGGGTGATAGACATAACATATCCTGTCACTACCCAGAAGCAGAGCGGTTCGAAGAAAACTTTTACATGGTGTTCTTTTCGTTGAGCAAGCCAATGCTCAATTCCACCTCAGCCTGATCATACAGGCAAGATGCTGTCAAGTGATCAGTACGTTATTCTGATCGGCCTGCCCAAATCCTGGTAATACGGCGCGACATACTCATGCCAAGAGGAAAGGCACTTGTCCTGACAGTGCGTCACATGCTGCAGGCTGCTAATTATCAAGCCACTGTGGAGAAGCGACTAGCGAAACTGGAGGCAGGAAGCAAGTCACCACCTTCTGCTTTGTCTGAAGGTCTGGCAGAGTTGCGGTTTTCAGGCTCAAGTTTAGGCTCAGTGCAACCACAAGAGATCAAACAGGTGAGTTGACAACCACGTAGAGCTTGAACTTGTCTTTGAAGCTGCTCCTTGTCGCCCTTCATCTTCACCATTGCGTGACAAGGCTTGGCAGAATGCCAGACTAGTCCCGATCTAGAGACTGCATGAGCAGTTGATGAGAGCTGTTGAACATCTGCCGTGCAGGAACAAGAAGCTTCGCAGACTTTCTCCACAGACTAAGGGATCTATTGTCAAGGTTTTGCTTCATTCGAGTTCCAAGCTGGGAGCAGCAGTCAATTCAGCAAGTCCACCCAATTTGATCGGAAGTGGTCGAGAAGCTAAAGCTTTTTGCTGTTCAAATCCTTTTTGCAATCTTGTCCTGTACGAAAGACATCATGCAGCAGATTCACTAATCTGCTTGCAAGACTCTCCCTAATCCTGTTACGAGGAGTCTCAATCACCCAACACCTCCTTGAAAGATTCGAAGACGATTCGATCATCAATCGATCATCAATCGATCCGCTTCACGTGCTCCCACATTCAAGTTGGCTCTATATGGCATGTGCAGACGCTGGTCCATGCTCCCCTTGCACAGGACGTTCAAGATGCAATCGAAGCAAGCTTTCGCGTGAAGTCACGTGGAGCCCAGCTTGTTCCCAAATATTGTCATGGTTAACACGATAGATCACAAATGATGTACCACATACAGTGGCACGTCAAATTGACATAAAACAATCGAAATTTGAGACCGTTGGCTGGTACCGTACTCGAGCTGGACATGTACACATGGTCTTTGTAATGCTTATCTGCTCAGCTAGTGGGCATTGTAAAATCGTGCGCCAAATCATCATGACAAAGCTCCTGCATGGTCTGATGTGCAGCCCTTGGTTCCTCAGGTTCCTGAGTCAATTCGTTGATTTAACACTGCGGCTTACATGCATGACGGCATATAAAGCATGTCGCTACTCGTACTGCACACTTTACCAATCCACAGAAGCTTCTGTAGATACGATGCGCATACAATTTTAATGCTAGCCAGCAGAACTATTTGAACTGTCCAGATCTCATTCAAGCAATTTTATGCAACAAATAATGCACGAGGTCACTCCTGGCCCTGGCACAGGCCACCGCGTACGTCCAGCTTTGCAAGAGATTAGAAGTCAGCTCCGCAAAACCAGTAAGCTGCACATAGTGAAGCTGGTATGTTTTGCTTGCCGCATACGCCCTTCACGAAGTTCGCCTTTACTGAGACAAATTCCATCTGAGGCTAGCTGATCGAAAAGACTTCTAGCATCCACCGGCTTCCATGGCAGCCAACGTGCCAGCAGAAGGTATCAGGCATGCGAACGAACTTCTCACCATGGTAAGGTGCCCCTGTCTCCAGCTTTCATTCGTACTAGGTCCTGCAGCTGCATTCAAATTGGTGAGCTACGGGTCAAACTTGACATAGTAGATACGAGGCTGTGTATTGACAGACCTCTTCAGTATGTGACGTTTGCTTGTCTGTGCTCAAGACTGACGATCCATAACGTCAGAGGATCTTCGACAGGCCACGTGTTGACAGGTGTCGACCACCGAACCAGGAAGAGCGGGCACACCCAGCTGCGCGTAGCAAATCCGTTGATATGGTTTGGCTTTGCTGAACCAACGGTCGAGCTTGATCATGCTACTGACCGTTGGGCTGATGACGGTCCTCTACAGCTGTCCAAGAAAACGAAGAGTTTCAAGGTCTTAAAACTCCCCCCTGCAATATGATTCTAACAGAACCTAGCTGTAGAGGAACCATGAGTGGTCACTCTGAAGGGGTTGGAAGTCAACTTCGAGAGAGCACTATATCAAGGAATTCATAGGAGAGGCGGCTAGGGCGCGATAAGCAGAGGGCGGGTCCCCTTGTTTGGGGGTTGTATTGCCACAGGCATGCAGCGCGCATACTAAGCTTCAATGAAGCAGACGAGGAAGTAGGCATCTTTTGATCTGGAAAGTGCGTTTTTGTTTACATGTCAAGTAAGAGAAGGTGGCACCAACACAGTGGCCTTGGAAAGCGATGTGCTTGTAATCTGGGGGTCCTGGTTGAGCAGGATGACAGAGAGTTCTGTTAGGCAGAACTTGTTTCAAAAGGTAAGGACACGAAAGGTCTTCACTAGTTGACCTTGTACGAACAGGGTAGCTACATGTATGGTGACCAAAAGGCTTATAGCAAGAAAGGCATGTTGAAATGCACGCTTTGGTCCAAACTGCATGTTTGTGCTGTTGTGCAACACGGAGGAAACGCTTCTGTTACTTACGCGTCGAGGGTGTTCCAATGATCTGTCTCCTGCAAACTCCCAGTCGTAGGCCGTCAGATCAGCATGTGGCCTGAGGTCTGCGATCTGAAACTCATTTCTGTCGCTTGGCTTAATCCCTGACATTTATGTTCTGAGACACGGCCCTTTTGTCACTGTTTTTGACTGCATCCCAGAACTGAACTGGCCGTGATCTCGACTGTCTTGCTTTTGCAGATTTGACAGCCACAAGTGGAGAACGTCCGCCGACCATCGCTTCACAATTCGCAGTCAAGTTCTGGCGAAGACCTGTCAAGACAAATGAAGACGGCAATCTGAGAGACACCTGAGATCAGGCAGCTGTGCTGCAGATGCGCAGATGGACCTTTCAACGGCATGCAGCGTATAGTAGCCAGGAGCATAGCTGAAAGAGCACTCTCAGAAGACTTTCCTTGCAATGAAGATGGAGACCCTTTTGGACACGACTGGCCAGCACTGCGTGGAAGAAGGCTCTTCCTTCTTGGAAGACAGTCCCCCTGGGACCCCGAGATCGCCTTCCGGGTTTGACACTTTCACAGGCAGCGGCATGCTTCTGAACTTCCTCACCCCAGTCAAGACTGGCCCTAGAAAGGGTGACACCTCGCACGAAGATGCCGCGTTCCTTTCTCCTACCAGCACGCTAGACGGTGGCACGTTCTCTCCGGATTCGGTCATCTCAGAAACAGACTGGACGGTCTTTGACAGGCCAAAGCCGAGGGTGCTGGACTTTGGAGCGGTCAGCAGCGATCTGAGCAAAGTCACTCTCACAGAAGAGCAAGATGCCAAGGCAGAAGACATATGCTGTGCCGAGAATCCTAGGGGACGCCAGCTCCGCTTCCCTTCGTTCCCTAACACTGATGACAGCTGGATCACGGTGTTTGACAAAGAAGCCAGAGGAGATGATCCAGGTTTCCAGTCAAGGGACTTGACTCCGGCTTCTGAACCCAACGCTGTAGAAACAGGTGTCGTTTCTGAAACGTCTAGAAATGCAAAGGAAGATGACCACTCCCCCTCAGCTCCCAACCTTCCCACACCAGTTGCTCGCGCGCTCTTCGATCCCGCTCCGGAGTCACTTGCAGAGCACAGTCTCAAGGGCTTGCCAGTCTCAAGCTGGGAGAAGTCTTCTTTCGAAGTACAAAAACAGCCTACGCGATCCAGCCAATTCAAAGCGACCTGGGCCCGTACGAATATTCCGGGAGCGGCTGTTTTGCGAAGAACTGCAGACGGAGTGACCAAGCTAGAAAATAGAAGGGAAAGGGGAATCTTTGAGCATTCAAAGATCGGCTTGGACACTGAAGAAGAGTGGACGGCAGTGAAACTTGAAGAGAGCTTGGCGCCAGGTAACAGAAAGTGTTTCCCGCTTTTTTGTATTGCGAAGCAGAGCAGAATCAAGATGAATCAAGCACGCATTTTTTTAGCCCTCCCAGACACGAAATATGTTCGTTTGTTTTCAAATTCAATCTTGAATTCAGCTGCCTTCTGTGCATCAAAGCTTCTCCGACAAAATGACTATCGATACCCCTTAGCGATTCTCTGTTGCCTGAAGGTTGGATATACATCGTGATCACCCGAAGCTAGTCGCTCTATCTGCAGGCAGCGCTGTGGCTCCAAGCGTCACATCTGATCGCGGCCAGCACGCCCAAGTTCCCCTGAAGAAGCCTGTGTCTCCTCCAGCGTGAGTATTTCGTCAGTTGATACCTTTGTGCGGGTATTTCTTCCGTCAGTTGACGCGCTGGCGCAAAATCTGACCTACGCGTGATCTGAATCTTTAATTGCAGACCACGAGAATCACGCAAGGATAAAATGAACAAATTGGGATCCATTCGGCCTCGACAAATTCTGCAGAACTTTAAAAGAATTAAACACCTTTGCATCAATCCTGGACAGCTAGAATAGCGCAGACGTATCGATCAGTCCAGTATAAGCCTCCTAAAAGAGTTTGTTGCCGGCGAGACGAGTTTTCCTTCCTCCTGTGCGCGCTCTCTCTTGTATAAGCTACGCATCGAGAAACATTTTCCGCTGGCCACCGCGATCCACCGTAAGGAATTTTGTTGCTGCTCAAACTTTTCTCCTCGTCACACAGGACTGGCAGCAAGCTCGCGGCGCGCAGGGGCGAGCACGTGGCGCGCGCGCTCAACAATCTCAGGATTGGCGGAAAGCCGAGACCCGGGGAGAAAGCGTCGCCCCGCTGCAGCCCCAGAACCCATGGCGACGAAGCGCGCGCCCTCTTTGGCGCGATGCTCGAGCCCTCTCCAGACTCCACTCCGTTCAGGTGAGTCGCGCTACATTGAATTTACTTTCTCAGTATTTTGCGGACGTCCCAAGGAGTGCGTGCTGTTTCGGCGTCACGTCTTCCAAAAGAAATGACTACCTGTTGGTAGTCAGGAAGATCCTTCAGAATGCTCAGGTGTATCTCGAAGAAATCGTGTCGTTTAAAATCAGTTGCAGAACCGTCAAAACTTCTTCCAATAATCGTTTCACTTTATACCTTTTCTAAGGACGCTTAAACCCAAGCAAGCAAGTGATTCTGTGTCTCCCGGCCGTCTCCTCGCAGTACGTCCTCCGAGTCCGACTGGAGCCCCGACCAACCGGGGCAAACCACACCGACCCCGCAGCACGAGTCGGGCAAACGACCGCCCTTGCCCCCGTACGGCCCCCGCCTCAACCGAAGCGCGCGGCGCTCTAACCTGGCCGCCATCGCGGAGCAGCCGCCGCGCGTCGAGCGGAAGACCAAGCTCGGGCGCGCGCAAAACCCCGCGCGCGCGGCCGCGAGCGACGAGGAAAAGGACGACTCTGCGTGGGAGCGGGCGAAGGCTCTGCGAGTGAACATTACGCCCCGGGCCACGATCCCGAAGCCAAGCGTCTCGCTCGACTCCGAGGACTACTTCGAGATCCAGGATCCGCTCAGCGGCGGAAGGACGGAAACCGGAAGTGGCCGCGGCAGTCGCGGTTCGGACGAGGGTTCGCGGGGTTTGGACCCGCGGCTGAGCCCGCGGCTCGCGCGGCTCCTGCGGCGCGTCCCGGGCATTGGCGCGCTGACGACCGAGCGGATGGAGAGGCTGGTGGAGTCGGCGCACATGCTGGAGTACGGGTCGGGGGAGGTGATCGCCAAGACGGTGAGTGAGCCGGAAATCATGACGAGGTTATTGTGCATCAAACCGGATCAACCTGTTGTGTTCCTGCTTTTTCCGAAACTTGTTCACTAGAGCAAGAAGTCAAGTGTTAAATTACGGACCTAAGAAATTACCATTCATATTGAAAGCGTGTACGTAGAGGGTTTGTGATGGCGCTTGAAGACGCAACCTCAATCTCTTGCGAAACACCCCGACTCTGATTTCTATTTGTGTTATGTATTTCATCACAGAAAGACGAGATCCCATCGAGACCTCTGTTTCGCCACTTAAGTCTGCAGCGAAGCCCTCCTCGTGCCAGCATCACTCGCGAGCTTCGAGGTAACGTCTCACCCAGATGCTTTGAACACAAAGTTCTTCACTTCGATGACACGAGCTTTCACCATTCATATCCCCGTCACTCAAACCGTTCATAATCTGCGCGCGCAGGGCACGAATTGCTGCGGTACGTGCGTGGTGCTGGAGGGGCGCGTGCTCGCGATGGACATGACCTTCACGTGCCCCTCCGCCAACGGCATCCTCGGGCCGGGAGACTGGTTCGGCCTGGACTGCGGCGCGGGCATTGGGGCAGCGCGTGAGTGGACGAGCACACAACGCGAGCTTTGTTCTCGTTGCTCGAGCCCTTTATGACTGTCCAGTGTTCAGACAGTCATAAAGAGTGGCCATCTTTACGTAATGAATGCGAGCAATGATGCGAACGCCCCCTTCGCTGATGTGCAGAGTCCATTCCTGTTTTTCACGCCAATAATTGATTATTGCACACACGTTGAATCAGCGATTACTTGGTCAACCGCATTGAGAATGGTCTGAGATCCCCCAAACAATTGCTATTATTCGCAGACAACCTCACGTGGACGGTGGATTACCGCATGATCGAGACGGGCGCCATCTTCTTCGCTCGGACGGAAGTCCTCCTGGACGTCTTCTCCGCGTCTCCGCCGGCGCCGCTGTCTACCCGCCTCCTCTTCGCGAAAGGGTACCGCGCAATCGCGTTTCTGGGTCAGGGAGCGGTGAGATGTCGCCCCTTTTGCTGTAGCAATCCTGACAATTCTGATTGACTCACTACGTTTGTTAAACCGGGATCCGGACCAACTTTCAAATTCTTCCGAACGCGCTTCCAAGAAGTGAATTGGAGACCCGAAATGCTTTAAGCCTATGATAGTCAACTTTCACAACTCCGGCGCTCCACACTCTCCTCAAGTCTTACTAGAGCGTTTGCTTGCCCTTGATCGTGGATTTTGCAACCGAGTTCACAACAGGCTTGTGGGGATTACTGCTCCGCTTCAAAAACCCCTTACTGAGATCCAAGCAAACACGGCGCCCACTCTCATTTAGCCCCGCTAAAGCCTCAAACCCCGGCCGCGTCGCGCAGTTCGGCCGCGTGCACCTCGTCGAGGACCTGCTCGGCGGCGGCACCTTCGCCCTCAAGAAGATCCCCAAGAGCGTCATCCGCAGCTTCAGCACCGCCAAAACGCTCGCGCGCGAGGTCCGCGCGCTGCGCGCGCTGAGCGCGAGCCGCTTCGTGGGGCGCGTCGAGCGCACCTTCGCCGACTGGCGCTTCCTGTACATCCTGCAGGAGCCGCTCCTGGGGGGCGAGCTGCACGCCGTCATTTGCAGGGGTCCGGTGAGTGGGAGCGGAACCGGAATCTGGTACGGAATGCAGGAGCCACACGCTGGCCCGCGCTGGTTTGCGCTGGTTCCTCTGAAGATACGGGCCTTTGAAAGAGAGTAATCATCCATCTGGCTGGAGCGTCTGCTATTTCTCGTCGGCACTCTAGTTTTGATCACGCCTGTCGATTCCTCGCGATTCGCGCTCCCATCACACCCTGCTCACCTTCTATAGGTTCCTTTCCAAGTTGCCTGACAACGTAAAAATACCTTGCAAATGCCGCCTAAACTGAATGGCGGGAGTAAATACTTTCGAGAACCCGATCTGACACCAGCTTCTGTACTCGTACAGGGCTGTCTTAACGAGGAGGACGCCCGCTTCTATCTCGCGTGCGCGGTGCTCGCGCTCTGCGACGTTCACTCCGCCGGAATCCTGCACAGGTGAGCGCGGAAGACGCTTGAAACAAATTTCTTACATCATCCTGGCAACGTCATTCCTCGGGCGAGAAGGATGATCGGATGAATGTCTCGCAATCTCAATAGCCAACTTTACTCGTGAAATCAGTCCGACCTCACATTCTGTTCTGCGACGCTAAGTATAGGGACGCGAAGCCGGAAAAGGTGCTGCTCGATTGGGAACGGCTACCTCAAGCTCCCTCGCAGTTCGTATGCCAATGTTACTCTGTCGATTGATTCGTAGATTCAGCCCGACTCATGTTCCGTTCTGCGATGCTGACTACAGGGACGTGAAGCCGGAAAACTTGCTGCTCGACCGGAACGGCTACCTCAAGCTCGTCGACTTCGGTTACTCGACGCCGATAACCGCGTGCCTCTGCGACACCACGTATGTGGGCACCGTCGACTATATGCCGCCGGAGGTGAGGATACGAGATGGATCTTAGGATGCATCGCTGACGCACTTCCCACTGATACAACCTTTTGCAGTCTCGCAGAGGAGATCTCAGATTTGCACCATCATTGGAAAGTGTCCTGAACTGAAAAGGAGAACTTGTAACTTAGAGGCCCCGCTGAAAAGATGTCGAAGTGAGACACAACGTTTCCAGGAGTATCTTAGTATTGTCTACTTCTGTCACTCTTTGTCATTTCAATTTTCCCGAACGAGGCGCTGATTCATCGAGGCCTCTAGAAGAAAATCTAGACGGAGCATGCTATCCGACAACGTGCAAGCTTTCGAGCTCACATTCACTCTGAAATCAACCCCGTTACTGAGCCCGTTTTTAAGATCAACCTCGATAAATCTGCCTTTACAACAACAATCCATCCTCTAGTAGCACGAAGAAAAATTTCATTATCCCCAAACCCTTAAACCCGTTCTATCGTGCGCTCGCGGTCGCAGGTGGTTCGGCGCGACCCGCGCTGCTGGCGGCCGGCCGCCGATTGGTGGAGCCTGGGCGTGACGCTATTTTGCATGCTCACCGGGACGCTGCCCTTCTCGTACGACTGGGAGCACGACTTGAACCGTCCCGAGCATAATAAGATGTGAGAATAACTCGTTCTTGGAGCTCCATTTTGCTACGTTCTAGCCACCTTCTGCTTGCACTGGTGCCTGCCACTGACCCATATTGATCTGGAGGACTATAAAAAACAGTCGTTTGGATCGAAGAATGCGTCGAATCATTTAGGGAGCTATGTTGCTATAGGCGGCTGGACTTCAGCCCTCTTTACACGCCCTTCTGAGAAGCTGGCAGCCTCTGCTGAAAGCAGCGCTCTTGAGCCTTCAAAGTACCCGGGAAAAGTAAAGAGAACCTGCTCGTGAACTGTCTCGCGAAAATCTTCATAAGAAGCATACATTGCTGTACCGAACTCGGCAACAGATCCTACGTAATTTGTGGAAGCCTCCAGTACTAAATCCGTCCATGCCTTTCGCCGACTGCAGTTACCGGCGTATTACTGACGACTACTTCCCGAAGCACCACCTGTGCCAGCGCATGAGTCGCGAGGCCTTCGACCTGCTGAGCCGGCTGATGAACAAGGATCCGCGCCGGAGGGCAGGGGGCGGAATCCGCGGGGCGGCGGAAATCCAGGAGCACCCCTGGTTTGAAGGTTAGTAAATCTTCAAGGAGAAAGTTCTCGACCTTTCTGAAGATTTCCTTTCATGGTATTCGTTTTCTGAAACCAGATCAGCAGAGGAGGCCAGGCGAAAGCTTTTGGCAAAAGCGATCAATCTTGGATGCTGTGCAGCCGTCTACCGTTGATCTGTCAATTTGACATACGGTTCTGTGTTGAATGCCTGGCGTGTAAGCGCGCGAGTTATGACCCGTTTAATTGATGCAGCCAAAATATTGGGCTTCGATGGGCCACAGAAAGCTTAAGATTGGCGTTTAATTGGGTCCGACTTTCCCGCAGTCTTCCTTAGCATGACCGTATACTTTTGTATTGTAAGTCAGCGATTCGAACTTCGTCATTTGAATCTTCGTTGTCCACACATTTAGGCAAGCCACAAGTGCGGAAAGCATTGCCGTTCAAACACTGAGCACAAAACTACAGATGAAGCTTGTGAGCACGTAGGAAACTAGAGATGTGTGCACACTTCGTCAGATGCGGAACGAAATAACTGAGAAATCAGAGCTTACGAATGCCAATTTCGACTTAGACATTTGCTTCTTCTGCAGGCTTCAACTGGTGGGCTCTCAAAGCGGGACGAATGCGCGCGCCATACATTCCGTGCGTCACGAACGGCCACGACGCGTCCAACTTCTGCCCGCCACCGGAACAGTGTGCGCCGGAGCCGGAAGACACGTTCCCAGACGATCCGGCACTGGTAGAAGAGAATCAGAAGCTTGACCGGCTATTCAACGAGACGTAAAAATGAGGCTGTTTCGTGGAAGCGCATCAGCATTTTCCTCCGAGCCACCTGGAGTGTTGTCATTGTTGGTAAATGCAGGTTTGTATGAGAGTACTCTGGCCGTGAGGTTTCGTGACGTAAGGTGTTGTCCGCGAAGAGGGGTATGCTTCCAGTCGGTTGGGTTAGCGCAGGTATCTGAAGGCAATCTTGAAGCAGCTTTGGTCGTCATGCAACTGAATTCGACTTCACGACCGTATCGTAAACGTTTGTTGTCTGAAGTAGTTTTGCATGTAAGCCTGGGAGTTGTTGTAATGAGGAGATAGTTCAGGAGTACTCAAAAAAGAAGCGCAGCTAGCAGAAAAGATTATACTTATTGTTACGTAGTGCTCTTCGATCATTTCCAACTTGAATTCCACTGCGCAAGCGAGTGAGGGACTGTGCCGGTGACGATTTCGTAAGTGGATCTCATGTGCTTCTTAAGGCTCTGCGTGATGCACCGTACGTCATGGTATACGCGGCAAATCATGCGTAGATAAGTTTCTCAGCACATGACCGCTGTCAAATTGGGCGGATCACAATCTGCAGATCGTACCGAACTTTACTCTCACAGTTGTTGGTTATATGTCCCTTCCACCAGCCTGTCCAGGATCCGACACCTTCATGTAGCTAGTCTTAAGCAAAGCGACGCAACATTTGAACGAGTGCCGTTGGGTCTAGCTGAGCTCTAACGCATTCGAGTGTCGATGTCGGACAAATTTCGATTTCCCATGAATCATTCGGATCTGCAGACTCCCGGCGTAAGTTTGTCTTAGTGGCAGCTCTGCCCAATCAGCTCATGTGCTCATCCGATCCAAGTGCGTGCCAGATGCCGGCCTGAGACTGCGCATCGAATGGACGTAAATTCGGCTGTGCGGCGCATGCAGAAGTCATTTAGATCCTTCATGAATTAATAATTCTACACGGCCATCGACCTGCACACTAGCGGCATTGACCAGGCGCAGATTGGTAAATTTGCCGCGCTCTCAATTACGACACTATCTGCATACAGTAGGATCTTAATGTCAAAAATAAAGTACGTGCGCAACTGCCGGCAATAGGCTCCTCGCACAATGGAGGGGCTGTGGACACTTTTGCACGTATACGAGAATTGTTATGGGCAGTCGATTAAGCAATATTGATCAAGATCTAAATCCAATCCCGACCGAAGACTCTACTTTAGCTTTGCACAGAATTCGTCTAGCTTGACAATGTGTATCCTGTCGAAGGACTCAGCCTCCTTTCGCTCGTCAGCCGTGTTGTAGCCCCAGTCACCTGCAAAAGATAAGATTTGCTGCTCGAAGTAGTAAGACGGAATCGAAACGTTTCGCTCAGGTCGATTACTTGAGGACATTGACGCCATCAAACTAGCAGACGGCATGAAAGCAAAGACGCCCGCTGAAAGACACAGGCAGATGCAGGACACTATCATCTGAGTCGAACCTTTCTCCCCAATGGAGCTCTGCACGAACGCACCTCTTCACTTCGAACGCCCCCATCGAAGTTGCTTAGCAATGATGAGGCCGGTTTTGCTCGTTTTCAACGCTGATCAAGAAGCTCACCTAGGTACAAATTCCAGTCGTTCAAGGCAGGATCTTTGATGACGTTCTTCAGCGTCGCTAGTCGGTCTTCAACGAAACTGCAGGTACGACCAATCGGGATCAACAGAAAATGGCGATTAGATGGCACGGTCAGTGGAAGGTAAAGTGCCTAACAAGCGCAAGAAGCTTTCGCAACAAGAACGGATGGACATCGTGATCAGGACGCAAGCAACGACGGGTCTGCCAGGAAGCAGCCAGCGACCCGAGCACCATTTCCCAGATCTGACGTCCGACGGTTGATGGCCCGAATGGGTGATCGCGAAGAGTTTTATGAGTCGAAACTCACTGCAAGCGCGCGCCCTTGTGCCGCTCCTGTAGCTTCTTCAACACCTCAACTTTGGGACTGCAAATACAAGCGCCAACGTCTCAGGGCCTGCTTGTCTGTAAAACGGAGGCTTCTGAAACGCAACAGCACGGCTTGCACACGCCACCAAGAAAAGCCTGCTTCGACAAATAAACCGGACCGGGAAGACCAGCGGAAAGAGATGCAATGCGTAGGGGTCACCTTTGGAAAGAAGCTGAAATCCGCTCGAAAATCCTTCGACAAAGTTTAGGAGCAAGAAGTTCGTTGTTAAGCGCTGTGGCAAAGGCTCACCCGGTGCCCAGGCCGTAGATGTGGTCCTCGGGGAAGGTGACGCCCGCCAGCTCTTTCAGCAACGCCAGGGCGAAACGCGTCTGGGAGGTGGGAAATCGGGCGAGCTTATACATAGCCGAACGAGCTTTGCTTTACTCGAACGAGGTCTCACAAAGCCTCATGGGGACGCAATGTTAGAGAGTGACCGGGCCAGAGAGTCAGTGTCGAAATGCATACGTAAGCAGCAGCGAGCCAATGGCAGAAGGGCTTCTTGAGAAATCCTTGGCATGGAAGCAGGGGATTGGACCAGAGTGTGCAATGAACTGACGGACCTGCTTTGTGGTGACGATGTACAACTTGGACGACGCGAACTTGAGGGCGTCACTCACTCCAGGGTAGAACCTGCACGGGAGCAGAAGCGACAAAGCTTCGTTACTGGAGAGTCAGTCCCTTCGATTTCGCGATGAGTCTTCATGACATTCTTGAGAAGACAAACCGTCTCGCAGGTTTTATCCAAATTTTGAATGTTCTCGCAGAGGACTGATAATAAGCAAAGTTTCCCCAAGCTGCCCAGACGTGGTGAGGTTCAATGTCCTTGAGAGGCTACTCCTCTCTCCATTGGACTGGAGTGGATCCGTCTGCTGCAATGGTATGGTTGCGCTTAGCATGCATATGTGCGATCTAAGTCACCAATTCCTTGTAGGGCGGTCAGCAGGGCCGTCAATCAAACAGGGGACACCACCCCACAGAGTCAGCTGCGATGCGTCTGGCTCAAGAAGAACAGTACGGCACAAGCGACAAAGAGCATACGATTAAGAAACTTTTCGCCGCTTCTTGTACAAGTTTTGGTCGTTTAATCGTCGACTCATCTTCACAGAATCATGAGATGGTCGTTGCTTGAGACTCTGCTTGGTTATGAAGCCTTACCTGTTGGCCGCAATCCAGGTATGCAGATCGTGATCCATCCAGTCATCCCGCACTCGGCCAAAGAGCTCCACTAGGGGTTCTTTCTCAACGCCCCACTCCGCCATTGCAACGGGCTTGACCTCATGCTCCCAACCAGTCAGCAACGCCGCGATGCTCAACTCGGAAACTACCTGCGAAAGATATACTTTGATGAATGCAGGAACAACAAATCCCATGCCTGTTGTAGCAGGTCATAGCCCCCCTCATCACCTTGTGCGTGCAGCTGCTTTCCCTGTACTCATGAGAGATTGCTTGCTATCCACAATGGAGCCTTGCGGAAAGAACATCAGACCAGCATGAAACAGCTGTTATATGGACATGGCCTGGCAGCCCAAACGCTCAGCTCACCTTTGATGCATTGGATGACGGCTGCGTCATCTCAAGCAGCAGCCGCACCAAGAGAATGTTCTCGTACCCAGTCTCAACGACAGGCCGAACCTGCAGAGTGACAATGCTGGTGCTTATCAGACCAGCTCTATCCCCATGTCTCAAACTAATCTTCCACGATGTTCACGTAATCATTGTTGTGTTGATGACTAAAAAGCTACCACTACATCCTGCTGAGTAAACAATGAATAGCATCCTCTGCTAACTTTGGCTGCTCACCGTCCGCATGTCCGCAAGGACCTTCTCTTTCACGCCTTCTCCCACGTCCGCAAATAGCTCAGGCCATTGGATTGCAGCCGCCTGCAGCATTGACGAAGCAATTTCCAAGATGGACAGTTTATGGCATTGCACCATCCAACTTTAAATACCGTTTCAGTCACCTTGCAGATTGCACATCGATAATTGAAGGTGCATATTACAAGATGAAAGATTCCAGCAGTGATCAAACAGAGCAGCCACTATCGGAGTTGCAGATGATCACCTTCCACGCCGATAGTGAGCTCTCCCCGCAGCTATCACAGAGGACGCCGTCAAAATCTAGGGCGTACAGATCTTGTCCCATATTTGTATTTTAGATGCCCTCTCGGAAAGCTCTGGTGATCAGGGTGAGGGCCCGATCGTGGTTGCCCGTCCAAATGCGCAGCCCTGCCGCGTAACTTAAATGCTGTGTCGAACATGCAACAAGATGGCGCAGTGCTGGCGCCGCAGGAGTTTTCCAGGGACAAAGAAGGGAGCCAGGCAAAATATCAGCCCAATTGGAAGGCACGCAATTTCAGCGTCGGTATGCAGGCGAAAACCGGCAGTCCCCGCCCGATCTGATTCACTAGCTGTTCAGCCTCTGAAAGGGCTTTGCCGCTTTTCAAGCACGTTTCCCGTTGGCAAAACCGTCTAGGTAGCTCAAATGACACTGCGCACGACATATCGTGCGAGCGACAAGTGGCTTGAAGCGTATGGATGTCAGGAACTTCTGTTGTCACTGTCAGCAAGATAACGGCAATACTTGTCCTGACTCCTAGCTAGGAGTCCGACTCCT